CTACTGTTGGAAAATGCATAGCTAATACATATGTGTAAGTTGTGCACATTTTTTTATCTTAAATTGCTAATGTTTCATCTTAGAATCTTGGGTAGGATTTTTAATTTCCTACTCTAAAACTGTCACCCCAAATAATAGCTAAAATTCCATTTCAGAGCTTCGTTCTTTTTGTTCATCTTTAATTCATTAAAATACGTCATTAAATAAGATGATCTTTTAAGTTGGTAGACATTTATACTTACTAAAACTACRTTTATTTTATTTCAATGAATTTCAGTGTTTTCTCACAGGTTTTGCTGAGGGAAGGGGGATGAAAATACAAAACACAGGCATCATCTAGGTAGTAATAGTCCAGAAACACCTGAAACAAATGTTGGCTGTTTTATATTCCTATTATGAATTGATGGTAAAAGGACTTTGGTATTCTAGAACAAAAATTTATGAAATAGTTCTTTTATCAGATATAAACTATGATATATAAATAGGAAATTGATACCTTAATTCCTTATTAGCTGTTTGACCTAAACATAAATTCAAAGGGGAACCTTTTCTTCCACCACTTATTAAACATTAGTATTTTCTAGGGGCCAGTGCTATGTGCTTTCTAACTTTTTCTAGTTGTATTTTCCTGGCTGTCTCTTGCATATTTTTCTCTGTATGTGTCAGAGGCTTTCTAACCCAACACTTCCCAAACCTAATTTATCTTAATTCACAGACTTTCTTTCCTTATCTCAGACTTTCTTTCCTTACCACAGACTTTTCTTTTCCTTATCTTCATAGTACATACCCCTCTACTTGGTCACTTAACACTAGAAATCTGGAAGTCTAACTTGCTTTCTTTCCACCTAAATTAATATAGGAAATAGAGTGAAAACTATTATAAATTATACCTTCTAAATATTTCTTCTCATGTATTCTCTCCACTTCAATTGCCATTGCCTTAATTTAGGCCTCATCATTCCTCGTGTAAATTACTTTCACCCATTAAGTCCCAAGTTTTCAATCTGTAAATATTTCAACAAAAATTGACACAGATCCTTTAAAGTAGATTGGAAATCATAATCTAGAGTATATGTATATTATAATTAATATACTTATTACATAATTATCTGCCTATAATTATAATGTTTCTATAGGTGTTTTGTATCTGGGACAGCAGGACAAAATGAGTTAATAACCTCAGTGAAAGTAGGTTAAGTTGTAAAAGCAACTCAAAAGTATAATGGTTTAAATAACATAGGTATTTTTGTTACTTAATAGCTGGGAGGTAAGCAGTCCAAGCTAGCAGGGTATATGCTCTATGATTTTCATCAGATGCTCACTTTCCTTTAGATTTTTTGCTCTTGTCTCTCAAAACAAGGATTTGTAACCATTTTTGTGCCATGGACACTTGTCAGCCTAGTACAGTCTATGAATCCCTTCTTGCAACCAAGTTTTTAAGTAAAATACGTAGGATTGATTACAAAGGAAACTTGGAAATACGGTTATTAAAAATAACATGCTTTTCTGTAATGTGCTTTTWAAAAAAAAAAAAAAGAATTGCCTCTCTTTTTTTTTTTTTTTTGATAACCTTTTTATGTGGTGTAAAGGATCGAACCCAGTGCCTCACATGTGCTAGGGAGGAGCACTCTATCACTGAGCTACAATCCCAGCCCCAACATGTACTTTATGAAAAAAGTTTATAGTAACAACTAATAACCTATTTATTGTTGTATTTTCAAGGTCAATGTTACTATTAATGTTGTTTGAAGTTGTCTCCAACATTTATAAGGTGGTATTAAAAATACCTTATTTCTATTGATAGCAAAAATYATATACTGTTTTTACTACTGTGATTTATGCCTATATTCATGATTGAAGGAAACATTAAATTTCAGTTTAAGGTTACTTCAAGACGATTCCCTTAATTCTGTCTATGGATCCCTTCAGTATCTGGGAACTTCAAAGAACCTCTGCCCTAGACCATTATACCCATGTGTACAGTCAAAAGTGCATCTTTGGCTTATCTGTGTTCCCAGTCACAGAAATAGAGGGAAAGTATTCTTTTTCTCATATAATCTCTTCTCTGTGCCCATTAGTTCCTTCCTTTAGTTACCTTGAAAATGTCTTATTTTTTAACACATAATGCAAAAATTGTTTTCCCTGAGAAGACTTTCTACCTCAAAGGATTCCTCTCCTCATACAGATAATCCCATTTCAGGTCTTTCAAACGGAAGCTTTTAGACTTCCATGTAAGTTGGTTATAGAGTGAAGTTCCTACTTATACAACAATAACTATTTATTGTGCATCCATGAATTCAAGGCCTTAACTAGTATGAAGCATACAAAAGAGTACAGTCTATATTCTAATAAAACCTAGTAGTAAAGTTATAATCTAGTAAGTGGATGTCACAGAGAACAGTGAACAGAATGTGAAAAGCACCAAAAGAACAAGGTACAAAGTGCTAGTGAAGGAAGGAAACTAAAATTAAGACAATCATGGGAGCTTCATGCTACATTAAGCTGAAACTTAAAACAGTATAGAAGATTTTAAACATGTAAAAATGGATCAATATCACAGAGAAAGATACAGGTATATTAAAAATTGGTCAGATTGGCTAAAATTTAACAGATAAGAAAAATGTGACAAAAACTGCATTCAGCTAATTATTATTCAAAAGTTAGCTTGATAATACTTCCAGACAAAAAATATAGTTGATTTAGAGAGCTTTATTTTTAAAAAATGCAAGAACTGAACCCAAAAAGTGGGATGCAAGAAGCAATGATGGAAACAAACTGAATACCTTGGTGACCTAGATAAGCCTATGAGAGGGGAAATGTGGGAGAAGTCACTTACCTTGGTGAATCTGGGAATAATTTAGCCTCGTTCTCACTTTTCTTGGGACTCTACACTTAACTCTGGTCTTTCCCTCCTTGATAGAGGTTTCACAGGGCCCAGCAGGAATATGGCGTTAGTGTGTTTCACTATGACTAGTTAGGCAGGGCTACTTAAATCTGGGGTTCAACAATTACAAGCCAATAGGCACCTAAGTAATTTATCTACTAACGTTATCAGCGGTAATGTTTTTATTTCTGTTACCTCTTTTTTTWWAAAAAAAAAAAACTTTTGTAGTTGTGGCTGGACAGCATGCCTTTATTTTATATGTTTATGTGGTGCTGAGGATCAAACCCAGTGCCTCACACATGCTAGGCAAGTGCTCTGCCACCCTGCCTACTCTTAGTAACTGTTTGAAGATTCAGGTAGGAATGTACCTAAAATGGTGTCTAGAAGGAAACTTAGCTATCACTAGCTAAACCAAAAGCTGTTTAGCTAGTGACAGAAACAAAAAAATATTAAAAATGAGGAAAATATAGCTATAGAAGACATTTTAACTCACAAATGAATAATCAACTTTGTGCAAGATCTAGATAAAAATATAAGTAACCAATGTTGATTCAAGAATAGAAAACAGGGGGCTCCCAAGTTCGAAGCCAGCCTCAGTAATTTGGGGAGGCCCTAAGCAACTTAGCAAGAACCTCTGGAAAGGTAAAAGGGGCTGGGGATGTAGTTCAGTTGTCAAGCGTCCCTGGGATCAATCCTCAGTATCAAAACGGAAGAGCAGCGAAGCTGAGAGGTACATTATGTGCGCGGATCAGCTTGCATCCTGGGTTCCAGCAGCAGGTAAGCTTAAGGACGTCTGCTGGCCCTTTGGTGCCAGGCAGCCATGCTGTGCTTGAGCTACTTATCACAAAACAGCGCTGCGGACACGTCTCCCGCTTTCAGCAGTTTGAACCTGGGACTTGCGAGTTGAGGAACTTGCCAAAAGGCCTGCAGGAAGTAAATCAGGTTAGCTGTGACAGGCCCCGGGCGGTGACCCTCGGCCGCCCGGCTGGCTTTGCAGCAGGCGGCATGCCCTCGAAGTAACCTGAGGAGTGCGGGGTTAACTCCTWGTCCCTGTAGTCGACGTCTTTGTTGTGGTTGTTCCTTGAGGTTTTCAGACAGGGTGGATAAATAGGTGGAATCAGACAAAGGGTTCAGGAATGGGCCGGCCCCGGGCGGTGGCCTCCTGCTGCGCGGTGGCGGACGAGGCCGCTGGCGCAGAGTTCCCAGGGCGTCCAGTCCCGGCCGCGCTGCCTGCCGGGAGGCCGCGTGCCGGCCTGCAGCCGAGGGCGTCGTCGGCGCCGCGGCCCGCGCCGGGTGCGGTGCACCCCACTCGAGCATCGCCCCAACATGGATTTCCCGCTCATCCTGGCAACCGCCGCAGGAGCTTTATTCACGGTTGCTGCGGCCGCTCTGGCGGCGGCGTTGATACTAAGGCGTCTAAACTTCCTAAAGTGGACGGAAAGTGAGGACCGAGAGAGCAGCAGCCACTCTAGCGAGCAGCCCGCCGTCACCCGCAAGACGACAGCCCAGGTGAACCAAGGCACGCACCAAGAGCTGGGCAGTAAGGGRCAAGACGCGCAGGAGGAAGCCAAGGGAAGGGAAAGGTACGGCGGGCGGCCTCTGCCCGAGGGCGCGAGGACGCTGGTGGCGGGAGGGCGCCAGTGCCCGGTTCCCCGACCCGCGCCGGGCTTTCGCCGCTTGAACGCCGGGCGGGAAGAGAACGCCGGGCGCAGCGCGCGCGGCACAATGGGCGCCACCTCACAGAGCCGGGCGCGGCGGACGGCGGGGCGAGCGCCACCCGTGCAGGCGCCGCGGGCCGCACTGGGCCCCTCGGGGCGGCGAGGCCGGCGGGTGGGTGCGCGGGCGGCGGGAGAGCCCTGTGGGGAGCGGGCGGGGGCGTGGCGGCSGGTTCCGCGGGCCCGCAGCGCCTGGGGCGCCGGGGCGGCCGCAGCTCCCCGCGCCGCTCACCTGCCCAACCGCAGTGCGCGCAGCCGCCGCGCGCCCGCCGCCCCGCCTCCCCACCACGCCCCGCCCGGCAGGGACGCCCCGGCTTTCCAGATCTTTCTCGAACCCGAAGCTCCTCGGGCAGCCGTTGCCCGAGTGCTGACGGAAGCGTCCGAGGGCGCGGCAGGGAGCTGCCTCGGGCGCTGGGAGACGGCTCGCGCGCCCCCCCGGCGGCCGAGCGCGCAGGCGCGGGTCCTAGTAACCGCCGGTTGGAGGCGGCCGGACCGCAGTGGAGAGACGGAGGCGGCGGGACGCGGGAGCTGCGGCGCGGCGGCCTCTTCCCTCCGCGGTCGCCCCACGCCCTGCCCCGGACGCTCCGGGTAGCGAGTGGGTCCTCTCCCCTTTGCCCCCGCAGGAGTCGCAGGCGCAGCAGCGACGGCCCAGCGAAGGACGCGGCGCCCGCTCCCCAGGCTAAGGCGCCGCCGCCGCGACCTTCCGGCGGCGGGATGTCGGTGGTGGGCATTGACCTCGGCTTCCTCAACTGCTACGTGGCCGTGGCGCGCAGCGGCGGCATCGAGACCATCGCCAACGAGTACAGCGACAGGTGTACCCCGTGAGTGCCGCGGCCCCGCGGGGGAGGGCCGGCGCCGGCGGGGTCCAGACTGCGGGTGGCCCGCGCGCCGCCGGGCGACTGCGAGCCGGCGGAGACCCGGCCTCGGGGAGAGGGCGTCTCTGGGGTCGTCCGTGCTTTGATTCCTTTGCAAGAACATTCTAGAAAGAATCCCCCCCCCCCACTTATCCGTTAGATTTCTTTTGAAATTTTGGAGGCTGGCCGCCGGAATGCGGCACGGAACGCGCTGGAACTCCGGTTCCCCGCCCGCGGCTCGCCCGGCCCGCTCGTTGCCCAGGCGACTCCTGACTGGCAAGGCCAGGTCCTGGGGTCTCCTGGGTCTCGGGCTGCGGAGGGCCACCTCAGCGGGTCGCTCTGCACAGGAGGGTGACGCGGCTGCGGACTGTCGCAGCGTAGGTGTGACTGCCCGCAGAGGACCGGGAAACTCGGCTCCCTGGGTCCAGCAGAGGGTAACCCGGCGACCTTCGGCTGCAGCATCCACTTGCGGGAGGCTGAGGCCAGGCGGACGCGCGTCCTCCCGAGAAGCGCGTCCGAGGCGCTCCCGGGGCCGACGTCGCCGCAGTGAGAACCCGGCCAGACCTGGGTTTCAGACTTCACCTGCTMGTCACTTAGAAGTCTAGATTCGCTTGGGCAGGGTTTTGTGTGGCTGAGATATTTTGATTTATGTGTAGGAAAAGGAATAATATTTAGATTTAATGACCTGATCCAATCCAGAAAGTTGGTGTCTTTGGGGTTTGTTTTTTATTGTTTGTGGCACTGGGGTTTGAAGCGGGACGCTTTTTTTTTTTTTTTTTTTTTTTTTTTTAAATAACCACTGAGCTACATCCTCGTCCTTCTTTATTTTTGAAACAGTCTTGCTAAATTGCCAAGATTGGCCTGGAACTTGTGATCATCCTGTCATAGCTAGACAGGTGTGAACTACCACCCTAGGTTTAATCAAGAAAGTTTCTAAGGTGGAAGGATCATGTTTTCAGTTAGCTTGCATCACCGGCTGTTTTTGCCTTGGCTTTATATTGTCCTTTAATTCAGGAGTATGTAGTCTGTTATTGACCAAAAATATTTCAGGGTGGTCACATACTCCTGCACTGTGTATTTTCTTAGTGGGGCAGTTGTTGAGGGAARATGTACCTAGTCCAGGACATTTATTCATTTACAAAGTGTTCCTATTGTTTGAAAAGCAGTACAATAGAAGAACCTTTAACTTTTCTCATACACTGTTGTATTTAATGACATGAGAAGCTAGTTTTGAAAAAAATTCATATTCTACTTGCAAATATCAAGGTAATAAACATTTTTAAAATGCAGATACATTACAGAAGGATTCTCTGAAAAGAAGGAAATTCTTAATTTAGTTGGTGCATGCTTTTTGATGTTTTATTCTTTTAACATTTAATTATTTTCCATAAGATCCCTCCCTAACTAAAAGGGACTTTGGACATTTAAAACTTGAAACAGTTTTATGGCATTTTCTGAGAATCTGGGGCTTACTTTCCAGATATCCAGTCTGGAAATATCACATTGGATATTTGAGATTTAAGCTGCGTTGTAAATATTTTTTAAGTACAAAATGGAATTTTTGAATAGAGATGACAAAGTATATGAAGTATAACATAAAAAGATTGTACCAAATCAGACATAACTTTACTCTGTTTATATGTGAATACTTGACCATGTACAACTACAAGAATGGGAAGTTTACAACCCCTTGTATGTATAATATGTCAAAATACATTCTATAGTCAAGTATATCTAAATAGAACAAAAGTTTTTTTGAGAATTTTTTTGTAAAAAAAACTTTTACATCATGTAATGTTTATTGATTACATCTATTTCCTTTGTTATTACTGGCTCAGGTAAAAGTTTTGAGAAAGAATAGGTATTTAACTTACTTGATTTTTCTCAAAACCTTGGCAGTATTTTTTATTTAATGGTTTTATAACGTTCTGGAATTTTGTTTTTGTTTTTTAAGAAAATTGAAGGGAAGAGTTTGAAGACTTTCTGCTTGATATTTCCAAGCCTAGTTACTCTAGGTATTTTTTTAAACTTTTAATAGTCTACTTTTTACTTCAAGAGAGTTTACTAATGGTAAGAATTTGACTTTCTTTGTGACATATTATGTGTGAAGGTTTCAAAGAACCTAACCTTAAAAAAAAATGACAGTAGAAAACAAATCTTATTTAAATATACTATTCTAACAAAAATTAAACTATTGGAAATCAACCTAAGAAAAATTTTTAATATTCATTCAAGTGCACAGAATTTTTCAGTAGCACAATGGTGAAAAATTAGAAGTATCTGGAAGTATGTCCAAGTAATGGAGTTAGGAACAAGACAGATATAAGTAGCTGAAAAATGGCAAACTGGTGTTTTCTCCAAGAGATGAATTTTAGGATTGAATGCCAACCATGCCAGCCATCCACACAGATTTCTATATTTGATATGTACATTTTTACTTGGTCAAAGAATGTGTTGAATCAAGGAATTATTTGCAAGAGGTGTTAAAGATATCATCAAACCTATTGATTTCTGCTATGTCCTGATTTTCCTGTTTTTCACTGAATCTCAGAAGAGTAACATTCATTCCCCCCTCCATCTGATAAATTTTAACATTTTGAGAGAGAGTGAGGGTGTGTGTGGGTGTGTGTGTTTCTGCTCCTATGTCTCAAAGGTGTCTAAAACTTGGAATGATCACACTAGAATTTGTGATTGTTCCTCTCCAAATCTGTTGTTCTTGACAGTGTTTCTGTCTCGTTGGATAGCATCATTATCTATTCTCTTATGTAAACTGGAAACCTAGACATTATGCTTTTCACTTAACCTATTCCCTCTGTATAGTCCAGCACTGTCAATGAAAATGTCAGCCACAGACATAATTGTAAATGTTCCAGAAGTTACATTAGAAAGGAAGCTTATCCGTTCATACTGTAATCAAAATGATTTCCAACAAACTTTCTGCCTCTTTGATGCCATCACTGTTGACACTTCCTTGGGTAAGCCTTCTTAACCCTCTGGGTCAGTTCCTGCTATGGTCTATTCTTATAGCACCATGTGCTCCCTCTGTTTAGCACCTAGTTCCTGCTATGGTCTATTCTTATAGCACCATGTGCTCCCTTTGTTTAGCACCTAGTTTATTTTTATCTGTATGTATATAGCATTCTTTCCTTTAACCATTGTATCTTTAGCAACTAATAGTGCAAAGCTTACTCAACAAACATTTGTTGAATCTACTAAATAAACTTTTAAACTATTTGCCCTCCCTGAAAATTCAGTGGTTCCCAACATAACAGTGGCTTGTTCGGCCCTTGAAAACCATTTATCTGGAATATTACTTCTCTGTTGTGTATGATACACCAGCAGTCAATGTCCTCTGCATTATTTAGAACTTGTTAATGAATTCCCATTATCTACTGAATAAATTTCAAGTTTGTATTCTAGAATGTGAGGCCCTACTTAATCTGGCCTCAATACTATATTACCAAATTTTCCTGTGAAACTGCAAGTTGTGTTCTTCCTATCAAATAACCATTACCCATAGGAGCATCATTCAATAAAAACCTTTAGTATGTATCAGAGAGTGATCTATGCCATTGTTGTCTGGTAGAACTTCCTGTTCTATATATCTGTTCTATGTATATCCTGTTCTTTGTATATCCACTAGTTACATGTAGTCATTAAGCACCTGAAATGTGGTTGGATATGAAGAATTGCATTTTTTTTCTTTTAGTTAATTTAAATTTTACTGGGCACATGTGGCTAGTGACTTCCATATTGGATAGCACAGAACAGGGCGGTGGGGTATACCTTATCTAAACCTCATGAAATTCACATTCTGATGTTAATATATGTCCAGTGAATAAATTGTATTAGAAGATGATATACGATGAAGAAAAATTAAATTGGAAAAAATGGTATTAGATGTACTTGGGAGGAGCAGGAATATTGTTTATGTAGAATTATCAGGGACAGTGTTTCTGATAACCTGTCTTGAACAGAGATCTAAAAGAATTGAGCATGCAGGGCCATATTGGTGTATTTAGAAGAGTTCTGAAAGTGAGAACTGTATGTATAGCAGAAGTATGCATTGTAGTCTAGAAATAGCATAGAGATCTATGTACTTGTCTTGAATTTATAGGGTAGAGCAACAAAGACCCCAGACCATGAAGAGAGTACATTGGTTTTCGGGAAGACTTGAGCTTACTTTGCAAGTCAGCAAAACTGGAGGGTTTTCTGCAGGAGAGGCTCATGATCTTACTCTTTAAAAGAGTATTGCTCTGGGGCTGGGGATGTGGCTCAAGCGGTAGCGCTCGCCTGGCATGCGTGCGGCCTGGGTTCAATCCTCAGCACTACATACAAACAAAGATGTGTGTCCGCCGAAAACTTAAAAATAAATATTAAAAAATTCTCTCTCTCTCTCTCTCTCTCACTCTCACTCTCTTTAAAAAAAAATACTAAATACTAAAGAGTATTGCTCTGGCTGTCATGTTGAAAGTAGACTTACATGTCTCTGTTTTGTGTATTACTATAATAATATACTTGAGGCTGTAAAGAGTTTTGTAAAGAGATTTATTTGGCTAATGATTCTGGTGGCTGTTTTGTAAAGAGATGTATTTGGCTCGTGATTCTGGTGGCTGGAGGAGATTCTAAACAGCATAGTGCTTGTGTTGACAAGGGTTCCTAGCTGCATTGCAGCATGATAGAGAAACAGAAAGGGAACYATCCCCACAGTGGCCTCATTTTGTAACAGCCTACTTACTGTCTTGGAGAACTAACTAGTTACACGAACGAGATCCAACCTACTTGCTTGAAATGGGCTTTACTCCTTTCTGAGGGTGATGTTCCTATGCCCTAATCATCCCACAGGGCCTTGCCACTTAAAGGTACTGCTTTGTTGTCATTACATTGGGGACCAAGTTTCCTGCACACAAACCTTTGGGGGTGCAAACCATAGTTGTAATAACCTACGTAGCAGGAATGTCCTTTTCCTTAAGACATGTGAAATGCTTTGTCTCCTTCCAAATCTTGATGCTGAAGTTGTCTCTCTTTGCTTTTCCCAAAGCTCTGTTGTATAGACGTTATTATTCTACCTTTTGTTAATTATTAGTATTACTCTTAATCCTATATTTTCTATATGATGATTTTTTTTTCAATAGACTATAAATTCTCCAAGGACAGGGATTGTGGCTTTGTATATAGTGTCTTTCTTTGTTAGTTAAATTGTTTCCTATAGTTAAACTGAAATCATGAAAATTTTCTTAAATCATACATGAAATGGTATTTTGATGAAAATATCATTCTGTACTTGCCTTTATGTTGTATATTTAAATGCGGAAACTAAATAGCAATAATTTGTGTGATGTCTGTGTACCAAGTATTGTTCAAAGAGTTTCCCTAGATTCACTCCTCTAATCCTCTCTTACCCCTATGAGCAGGTATTATCACTGTCTTCCAGATGGAAAGCCGAAGCAAATACTAGTTATGTAATTTCCACAAGGTTACTCAGCTGTTCAATGGTGAGCAAGGTTTTAAATCCATGTAGCCTTGCCTTACTGAGTACACTTAATTTTTTTAATAGGTCATAGACCCGTAGAATTTGAAAACAGTTTTAGGAAGCAACAATACTATTCCTGTAATAAGGACACTTAAAAAATTCTTAACATTTATTCTGACCACCATTCCATTATTTAGGAAACTTTAAAATATGTAAAATTTTGCTGAGTGTGGTGGTGTATGCCTATAATCTACAGTATCTTGGGAGGCTGAGGCAGGAGAATTTCAAAATTGAGGCCAACTTAAGCAACTTAGTGAAACCCTGTCTTAAAAATAAGAATGGCTGGAGACATAGCTCAGTTGGTAGAGTGCCCCTGGATTTAATCCCAAGTATCAAAAAATGTGTAAAATTTTAATTTATATTAACATATTCAAAATAAAACATTATTAATCTTTAAATTTAGTTTTATACAACAAAAAAATAATAGCACATTAATATAAAAATACCTTTAAAAAAAACCTTTGTGTTTTTCCTTACTTAGGGCCTGTATATCTTTGGGATCAAGAACTCGAGCCATTGGAAATGCAGCTAAAAGCCAGGTAAAATTGTTAGGATGACCGTTTTAACTTATAAGAAGAATTAATTGAGTCATACTAAGATACCATGTTAGGTAACTGAGTTGCAAATATGACAGATCCTGACATCTTTGTATTTTTTTTAAGTCAACTTACAAATTTTATTGGCTAATAGACAACTGCCACACATTCTTCTTACCACCATCCTACTATTCCTGAATTTAATTTGCAAAGGGAAGCAGAGACCAAAGAGGATTTCTTAGGTACTCAACAAAATTTGAAGAARTGGGGAAAAATATACTTACAGTTACTGAAAATAAAACTTGCCTCAGTTAAGAGAAGATTTTTCTTTGTACATATTTTAAAATAGCTTTATTTTCCATTTAGGAACTGTGGAAAATACCTATTCATATTGTTTGGAAGGGTACCTCATTTTGTAATAGGTAGTCTTCCAGATTCTTTTCAAATGGTCTTCACATTTCCTATAAATTGATGCTATCTGGCAGAGCCTTCTATTCAGCTTTCTGACATCTTGTCAAGAATTTGTAGAGGAGCAAGAATTCTTGCCCGGTTAGTTTCCACAATGCAGCCGTTTAACACCATCTCCTCCAAAATGGTGTGTACTTTATCCAAATTAAACGTTATATCTGGTTCAGTCACTCGGCTGAAGTCTAAAACTTCGACAAAATGTGAATGAATTCATAATAGCCATCTCATTCTCAGTGTCATTATAACTTCAACCACAATGAAGAGAGCTGCATATTGCCGATATATCAGCTTAAAATCCTTATATTCAATGAAAGAGCATTGTTCATTGGATCCGGAGACAGCTCTTTATGACTTCTGTTTCCAGAAGAGCACGCTTATTAATCTCCACATGCTCATGGTGCTTAGAAAGTCAGGTCTGGCCTTGTTTATTCACCGTAAGGAAAAATTTTAGCATTTTTTTTCCTGACCAGTGTTTTTCCAAATACAGATTAAAAGTTATAGCAAGGGATGGCTGTCATTGGAACCTGTGTGGCTCGGGGATGATGATCCTGTGATGGGTTTTCCTAGAATACCCCTCCCCCTTTCCTGCTGAAGCTTATTCCCCAACCCTCACTAGCCACATGGTATGGGCTTCCTTGGGGCAGCCATTTTGGCTTTTAGTATGGCATCTGCGGGGGCTTCTCCGGGGCCTGTATTTTATTAGATGTATTTTGTTTTGAATTGTATAAATTCCTTGAATTTTTAAAGTCTTTAGTTATAAAGTTAGGGTATACTGCTGTGTGACATTAATTTTTCCTAGTATAGTCACTTTCTATGACAGATACTCTATCTAGAAATGCACTTCAGTGACTAGTAAGCAATGTTCTTGTAAAAGAATGTGGGGGTTACCCACCAGGGTAATCCCATGTTGCTATCACTATATGTGGAATTTGTTTAACCCATTTTGTCCTAGCATCCCAGATATAATATTTGCCCTGTGTCCTATTTATAGGATGATATACTAAGACACTAATCGATCAGGTATCCTTTTTATAGACCAACTCACATTTTCATGCTTAATGATAATAAAGGGTATATAAACTCTGTTATTATTTCCAGCCTACTTAAATGCATCTGTGTTTTGTTGAAATCCTCTTTGGTCTCTGCTTCCCTTTGTAAATTAAATTCAGGAAAACTTTGAATTTAAGTAATTTCAACTGAAATGCTAATCAGTAGAATATAACTTAACAATGTGTAACATTGCTTTTTCTTTTTTTTAACTTCCATTCACCAAAAACATGTAACAGTTATTTCTTACATTTCATATGTATACCTGGGTTGTCTCTTACTTTTGAAATTTTCTTCAATGGGTTTTATTTTCCACTTAGGACAGAATAATTGACTCATTTATCTGGGGATGTTTTGGTTATGATGTTTGCCATACCCATCTTTTTATAATTGCCCTGTATGTGAGAGTGTTTATATCCTGGCACGATTGCACACACCTGTAATCTCAACCCAGCAAGGAGGCTGAGGCAGGATTCCAAGTTTGAGGCCAGTCTGGGCAACCTATCAAGACTTTAATCTCATAATGAAAATAAGAAAGGGGATCTGGGGTTGTAGCTCAGTGGTAGAGCACTCACCTAGCATCTGTGAGGCACTGGGTTTGAGCCTCAGCACCACATAAAAATGAAATAAAGATATTTTCCACCTACAACTAAAAGATAAATACACACATAAAAAAGTGGGGGTTGTGGGTTTAGCTCACTTGTAGAGTGCCTCTGAGTTCAATCCCCAAGATTGGGTGGAGGAATGTTTTTATTTTGAGTTTTCCTCTCACATTCAGGCTGATCTAAGTGTATCATAGATAGTCAAAAGAAACCAACCCACGCCAGTTGGCAGTGGTGCACACCTGTAATGCCAGCAGGTCAGGAGGCTGGGGTAGGGGGTTTAAAGCCAGCCTCAATAATGGTAAAGTGCTAAGTAACTCGATGAAACCCTGTCTCTAAATAAAATTCAAAATAGGGCCGGGGATGTGGCTCAGTTTCTGAGTGCCCCTGAGATCAGTCCCCAGTACTAAAAAGAAACCAACCCATAAAGTCAGTTCTTCTAAGAGCTCACCAACATAGTAACGACATCATTGTAGTTTTCACCCCATAATAGAAGATCAAGATCTTTTTGGCTTTCAGAGTCACTAGGAGGGCAGGTACTGGATCTTAGTAACAGTCTATAGTTTGAACTACGTACTCTTTAAAAAAAAAAAGTTGTTGCAGACTACAAGACATTTACAAATTAAAATACTTGAACTTCACATCATGCTACATGGAAGGGGTTTAATTTACTTGCCTAAAAGCAAGTTTCAGCAGTGCAGGCAGCATACTAATACATGAGAGTACTCCTAATTCATTTCACAGTGAATTAAATATTAAGAAAAGAAAACTGTACCAAAAATAGAAACAGTTTAAACAAAAATAGAAATGAGAGTGGTAAGAAGAAGAAATCAGAAATACTAATTCACTGGAGTAGAAGTATTGAGGATAATGAAGGGATGAATTTAATTATAGGTAGACTTTTATTATTGGAAAGTTTTAAATTTTGTTCCCTCTCTCTTTTGGAGACGTCAGAGGGGCATTTGGGAGGTGATAGTTAAAATGCATAACTTTCTCATTATAACTTTACTGCGAATTGGAAACCAGGAAAATGAAAAAGTATATGTCTGAGCCTGGGTGTGTATATAAGAAAAAGGGACATGGTTTTAAGTATTAGGATAGTATTTTATTTTATATTCATTAAGTCATTGATAAATAATTTGAATGTTTACTCCCAACAGATAGTCACAAATGTAAGAAATACAATTCATGGCTTCAAAAAACTTCACGGGCGATCATTTGATGATCCCATTGTGCAAACTGAAAGAGTCAGGCTTCCTTATGAACTGCAGAAGATGCCCAATGGAAGTGCAGGAATTAAGGTAAGTTGTGTATTCCTAGAATACAATTATATCTCCTGACTGGATACAGTACATACACCATACTACCAAGAGATGGGCAGTTTTTGTAATTTAGTGAATGCAAAAAAAAAAAAATCCARTTTTAATAATAACTTTTAAATTCAAATAATGCTCTTGTCAAGGAAGAAATTAACAACTTTTAGTGGACAAAGCAGAGGCACATGTGATTTAGAAGAGTAGATCCAGAAAATATGTTAATTACTATAAGATTTTCTAATTTTCAAGAAACTTAATGTAATGAGAAGTGTAAAAGAAATTGTTCTTCCAAAAGATGGAGCCTTGATTTTTAATTCTATATCCTGAAACAATAAGTTTAAGACCAGTTTTTAAAAAATGGGTTTATCAGAAACTGATGGGATGCCTGAAAACACAGTTATCATTATGACCCAGTAATTGCACTCTTTTAGTATGTACTGAAGAAAATTGAAATGTGTCTATACAAAAATTTGCACATGAATATTCATAATAGCATTATTTATAATGAACAAAAAGTGGAAACAATTCAGGTGATCTAAGCAAATAATAGATGGTTAAACCAAATAGGATATATGAATACAGTGGAATATTGTTTGGCCAAATAAAGGAAGTATTAATGTGTACTTACAACATGTATGAACTTTGAAAACATATAGTATGAGCCCGTTTATTTGCAATGTCTAGAATAGGGTGTATCCATAGAGGCAGAAAGTAGATTAGTGACTATTAAGGATGAAGGGGGAATTGAGCTGGGGAGTAAAAACTAACCAGTATAAAACTTCTGGGGGGTGATGAAAATGTTTTGCAGTTAGATGTAGTTATCAGTGCTATGTTGTAGGTGAAATTGAAGATCAAGGCTTATGGACTAGGAAACTAGAAGGGTTAAGACAACAAATGAGATAGAAAATAAATTCAGGTATCCTGTAGATCTGAACAGCTCTGCTTAATGGTTATTTAAAGCAATTTTATTCTGTTCTAGGTTAAACTAATTAAAAATTCCTTTTCTTTTATTGTTTAACATGAAAATAAATAGTGCTTTGTTTATAATAGGCTGATATAAACAGAATAGTTTTAAAGAAAGCCACACAAAATTTTTAGTATCGAATATATTTATAATGAGAGTCTAGGTGAAAAGAATTTTGTTCTTTTCCCCATAATAACACAGGAAGTACAGTAAGTAAGTATTTTAAACTTAATCTTTTTAAACAAATTCTGATTCTTTTTAGTTTAAATACATAACATTAGAATTCATTTTGACAGTTATAAAATTGTGGAATATAATTTGTTGTAATTCACAGTACTTCTCCTGACCCCAGTCCTCCTTCCCCTGTTCCCTTCCTCTACTCTCCTGATCTGTTAGTGTCTTGTGCATATACATAAAGGTTAGATTAACTATGGCATGTTTATATATGTACATAGGAAAGTTAGGTCACATTCAGTCCACTGTTTTTCCTTTATCCTGTCCTCCTGTTCCTCCTCCTCAACCCCCACCCTTCTCTACTTTACTAATCTTTCTTTATTTTGATGGAATTCCCACATACTTTTATGTTTGAGAAGGTTTTGAAAATGCCAGTCAGTCCTGTGTTGGAATAGTCTTCATCTTTTGAAGACTTTAAGATTTTCAGTGTTCAACTTTGTGAATTTTATTCAGTTATTTTTTATACATGCATTTGAATATGATTTGCTGGTTTTTTTCACCTTTTAAAATATTTTTATGCAAAGGAATGCTATACTATGGTACCCCCCATAGACAACACTCAGATCATGGTATTTGATTCAATTTTTCTTTATTTTATTAGGGTTTATTTCTCCTCTCTTCTTTGGTTTGTTTTATTTATTTWTTTATTTTTTTACAGTATTTGTTTTTGAACTTTCTTATAAATGGACACAAGTGGATATCAATTTCAGGTATGATTCAAAGGAAATCTTTTTTAAAGAGAAATTTTTAATATTTATTTTTCAGTTTTCGGTGGACACAACATCTTTATTTTTTTTTATTTTTATGTGGTGCTGAGGATCGAACTCAGCCCCCCACGCATGCCAGGGGAGTGCGTTACCGCTTGAGCCACATCCCCAGCCCTCTTATGTGGTGCTGGGGATTGAACTCCTAGGGCTTTGCATGTGCAAGGCAAGCGCTCTACCACTGAGCCAWAACCCCAGCCTCTCAAAGCAAATCTTACATCATTATATTTATATACACATTTGAGCTATACCCAAATACATTGTGCTGCTTTAGAGTTTTTTCCAGAAGTCTTCCAAATGTCAGCATTATGGAATAAAATTATTTACTCTGGGGATCCAGAAGTAAAAGATAAGAGCCTCAGTGAATTAAATAGTTATGTTTTGTGGCTTCTAAACTTAGCTTTCTGTTGCTTTTAAATTTTGTGATTGTCACAAAGGTTTGATACTTGACAAGTACAGGTCCCTCAGGATTCCTTGGTCAAGAAGCTTTTGTCAAGTTTGATTTGGTGTGCCTAAATGCCAGCCTAGCCTTAAATAATGTATAAAATAAGCACTTTTTTGGTCTAAACAAGTAATTTTTAAAATTTCAATCTTTAATTCATAGTTGTCCCAGAAACTTCCTTTTTTAAAAAAAATTTACTCTAATTTGTTATACATGACAATGCATCTCAGTTCATCAGTTCATAGTACACAAATGGAGCACAATTTTTCATTTCTCATTGTACACACCATTCGTGTCTTCATACATGTTCCTAGGGTAATGATGTCCATCGCATTCCACCATCTTTCCTACCTACATGCCCCTTCCTCTCCCCTCCCTCCCCTTTTCCTTTTTTTTTTTTTAATATGGAGTTTTTTTTCCTGATGATTTCATTTTCTGACTGAAGTTTTCATTTTAAATCCACGAAGCGTTCTTATTTTCAAAGGAAAAATTGTTTTCTTGTTCTTTAATTTATCATGGTTGGAAAATATGATATAGTAAAAATAAAAATTGCTTGGGGCGAGGTGGAGGATGTAAGACAGTAGGGCCACTAGAAAATAATCTACTAGGATGTAATTGTATGTGTTGAAATAGTAGGACCTCAGAAATGAGATGGTACTGTTTTTAATGAAGTCATAATTTCAGAGTGACAGTCTTTTTGGAATAAAACTTTCTTAAGCCCAGGACTTCTTATCTTTTTTACTGTTGTATGTCACATATAGAATAGATGTTCATTCACAAGGTATTTGTTGGATAAATAAACGACTCAAATAACTTAACTTTTGGTTTAAGGTGCGGTATCTAGAAGAAGACAGACCTTTTGCAATTGAGCAAGTTACTGGAATGCTGTTGGCCAAGCTTAAAGAGACTTCAGAAAATGCCCTGAAGAAACCAGTGGCTGACTGTGTGATTTCAGTAAGTTTTACTTCAGTAAATCATATTTTCTCAAGAAATGTTAATCCGTTAATGATAGAAATGTTTTTCCCCTTTATACTTTTCATCCCTTACCCAGAAAATAACCTTAAGTTCATTTTGACTTTTCCATTAAAAAAAATTATTTGCTAAAGTTCTAGATTGAACTTAATATAATATGTCACTTGTAATAATCAGGGAAACTTAATGTATGTGAATTCCAGCAACTCAGGAGGCCAAGGCAGAAGCATTTTAAGTTTGAGGCCAGTCTCAGCAACATAATGAGACCCAGTCTCAAAATATACAAAAAATTTTTAAAAGGGACTGGGGATGTTGACGCACCCCTGGGTTCAAGCTTGTGCCCCAAATACTAAGGTATGTATTACTGGTACCACTTAAAGACTTTTCCCAAATAACACCTAACTTCCCATGTCTGAGGACCTTAATGTTTTATGGCATAGGTTGCAAATCCCAGTTGGGAATCTGAAATTGTGTATATTATGTGAATGTAAGGTTGTTTTTGTTTTTGTTTTTATTGTTGTTTTGGTATTGGGGATTGAACTCAGGGGCATGTAACCATTGAGCCACATCCCCACCTTTTTTTCAATTGTAAGACAGGATCTTGCTGAGTTGCTAAGGCTGGCCTTGAACTTGTGATCCTCCTTCCTTGGTTGCTGAGATTACAGGCATGTACCATTGTGCCCAGCTGTAAAGATCTTTCTTGAAGGATTTTTTTTTAATCTCATGTGCTTTTTTAAAATTCATAAATTTTGTACAGGATGGTTGGTTTTGTTATGGCTTATTGGTACATGCATATCATTTGGTCAATTTTCCTCCTCACAAACCTCCCCTTACCCTCATCTTTGCCAGAACCCCACCCCCTTCTAACCTATTGGTCTCTTTTGTATTCTAAACAATAAATATAATTGTTTACCTTAGCTTTGCTCTTGAGACCCCATTGAATGTAGTTGGTTTTCAGTTTAAATTTTTTCACCCAAATGTGAATATTATTAAAACTTGGCTATATAAATCTTTTTCAACAGCATTTGGAAATTTTTATGAGAGAAAAACGGAGTTTAATATTCATTTTCTAGCCATTTAAAACTGGTAAATAAAAGAGATTATTATTGTTTGATTTTTGCTATTTTAAACATTTTATATACATTAACCTTTTTGTCAGAAACACACTTTGAAGTAGATATTATTCATCCCAATTTTATGCCTAAAAATAAACATTAAAAAAAAATGCAAGGCAACTAAGGCAAGGTGGTGCATGCCTGTCATCCCAGTGGCAGAAGGATTGTAAGTTTGAGGCCAGCCTTGGCAACTTCATCAGACTGTGTCTCAAAATAAATGAAAAAGGGCTGGGGGTGTAGCTCAGTGATATAGTTAGTACCCCTGGATTCAGTCCCAGTATTGCCAAAGAAAAAAGTTGTTTGGGTTTTTTTTTTGTTTGTTTGTTTTTTGTTTTTAATAAAAATTGAGGTGTAGGGATAGTTAATTCCTAAGCCCATACTTACAACTCTTTAGTTAATATTTATTGTCTCTTGAATGTATATATCAGAATGGTGCACATTTTTTAAAAAATCCATCTTAAGTTCAAATTCCTTCTTAATTTCACTGTACTTTTACTTTTATGTCAGAACAAAGTAATACAAACTTATGCTTAACTTTGTGGTTAGTACAGTAAACACAATGTGAGCTCTACATGGGCAAGTAAATGAATATTAAATTAATTATACACTATGATTTGTATTTTTGTCAGTAGCAAATCAGGGTAAGTCAGCTTTTCAAACAAAATTCAGAGTCTTTCCTTTTGTTAACCTATTATGTTTTTATAAGTGTCCTGTGTATTGGACGTTGTTCTAAAATCAGTTAAATGAAATTTGTAAATTCAAAAAATGATAAAATTTGAGGGGCCCCAATTATTTTGTACATGAATATACTTAAATAGCCTTTTAGAAATTTGTGAGCTAAAAGTCCTTCTTAGTTTTGACAGAGTAAAAATATATAAATCTTTATAAGCTTTAAGCCTGAATTTAATTTTTAGTAGAAATGTATTTGTTTGTTGGTGATTGTAGAAGAAATACATATGTTCACCATAACTTTGTCATAATATGTAATTCCTCTCCTTGGAAGTAAGATCATTTTAAACTATGGAAATTTTATTCTTTTTAAAATTTGTTTTAATTAGGATTTTTATTCTTTAAGTTATGCACGCGCACACAAACACACAAATGAAATTGTGCTATATGTATGCCCCGCCTGCACACACACACACACACACACACCCCTTTTAAATGCAGTAATGATACACCATGACTGTGCAAATCTGTTTCTACATAAGATTCTGGTATAGAGACATATGTTGAACTTAATTTTAGCAATCTTTTGAGTTTTCAATTTTTCATTTATTAAAGATGAACAAACATTGTTTTAATAGTTGAGTGTATTGGTATGTTTTTCATTACTTTATCAGGATACCTCAGCCAGACTAACTTGATAAAGAAAACAGATATCTTAGGCTAAAAGTCCATAATGAGGTGGCCACATTAGTTTGGCCTCTAATTAGAGTGCCTAACAGTGTCTTGGCAGGAGTGTTTGTGGAAGGCAGGCTCACATTGCTAAACTGGAAGCCAAAGAGATTGGGTCCCACAGTTCCTTTCTAGAGCATGTCCCCTCATTGACCTAAGGATCCCAGTAGGCCCCACCCCTTTAAAGGTCCACAGTGAGAACTGAGTTTCCAACACATGGACCTTTTGGGGACAAGCAACACCCAAATCATAGCAGCTAGACTAACATGGCAGTGTTTAAACTAATAGAATTTTGGCAGTCCTGCCACGTTACTAATTACGTTTAAATTAGTATTCATATGTTAAGTCAAATCTTTATGGTACAGAAATGGTCAAACTTAAAAAAACTAGCACTAGTATTCTTCCTCATTTATTTAATTAATACACTTTGTCTTAAATTACACGCAAGTTTAGTGTTTACATTTTCAAATAATAAAATCTGTTACATCAAACTGATATACTTGATTATTGTTTTTAAATATCAGATTCCTAGCTTTTTCACTGATGCTGAGAGAAGATCTGTGATGGCTGCAGCTCAGGTTGCAGGCTTAAATTGTTTAAGATTGATGAATGAAACTACTGCAGGTAAGCACACACTCTGTAATTTGAAAGTCACTGTAAGAAAAGTACTGTTAAACAGTTTTTTTCCAATGAGTAACAACGTTTTTCTTTTTCTTTTTTGTAATATGCTGATTCTTATAAGCCACTTGCTTTGGAATATTACATTTTGGCAGAGGTTAAATTTGTTTTAATTGCTTTAGATTAGATATGATTATTATACAGTTGTAGATAGTAGGGAAAAATTTAACTTTGAAACTAATAGTATATATTAGGGAAAAAATTTAACTTTGAAACTAATAGTATATATTACTGTACTGTATATTAAAGTACAGTAAGTGACTTATCTTGTGTTTTCCAAGTAATTGCTATACTAGAATTAACCCAATTCTTTGTTCTTACACAGTTGCACTAGCATATGGAATTTATAAACAGGATCTTCCCCCGTTAGATGAGAAACCAAGAAATGTAGTATTTATTGATATGGGACATTCTGCCTATCAGGTCTCGGTTTGTGCTTTTAACAAAGGAAAACTTAAAGTAAGTAAATAAATGATTTGCTGTATTAACTTATTATTAAGAGCACAGACTATATAGAGAACTTTAATGACTGGGCTTAAATCTTGGCTCTGCCCTTTAAAAACTGTGACCTTAACCTTTCTAAACTTTAGTTTCTTTGTCTAAGGATAATATCAGTAACTGCCTCCTAGAATTTTTGAGAATAGAGCAAGTTAACACATAGCAAATGCTTGGAAGCCTGGCATATAGCAGAAGCTATATGTGTTAGCTATTTTTATCATTATTACTTTCTTGTTAAGGTGTTAAATCTGCTATCTGGGAACATAAAGTGTCCGTAAATAAACTTATAGGAACTACTTTCTAAAATAATTCATATTGTTTTTAGAAAACTTTCTATCTGGGAGTCCTTATAGTAATATTCTATAATATAGCATTATTAACCTCATGTTTTTATAATCTATATTTTGTTTTATATTTGTTTTCATGTTGACTATTTGTCCAGATTTAGGCAAGTTCTCTCCGTTATGCATGTGAGTAGAGTACTTGGAAGATAAAGTGCTTTTGTTTATCCAACTCTGAAAGAGCCTTTTATCCTGCAGTATATAGTACTATAACAACATCCCTTATAATCCACAAATTAAAGGGAAATAAACGACTCATGCTAAATATGGAGTTGTTTTTTATGTGAATTGGTTTAATTCTTGACCTTTAACCTTAAATTTTAACTTAATTTAAAAAGCATTTTCTTTCTTTCCTAAGCTTTTCTCTTAGCTACCTTAGAGTTTAGTGAACTATAATTTGAAGATCAGAGAGCTTTTTGAAGCCCACAGCCCTTCTTTCCAGAAGAATGCATGTTTGTTCTGGTTACATACCAAGATAATTTTACGTAACACTGGACTTCATAAGCAGTCTGCACATGAATTTTCCATGCTAGTTTGTAGATTAGACATCACTCTCAGATGATGCTCACATCCTTTTGTGATGTTCCCATTCCGCCTTCACCCGCTCTAGTGAAGAAAGAGCTGAATCCCCAACAGTGGGTTTCACTTTTAGTATTATCTCTAAGTGTGTACTTATTTTACCCTGGGGCGGTTGGGGGAGGGTTCTGTGGGGTTGAAGTTCTGTGGCTCATCCCTTCCACAAAACTACTATCTGGGAGCCTATTGCTCATAAAACTTTTCAAAATTTTGTTTCTGCTTACTTATTTGCTCTCTGAAGTATTCTTAAGTTCTTATATTCTTATGTTGGAAAACTATGTTTTTTAATTTAATTTTTTTTAAATGCCTAAATCCTGACCTGTTAACTGACCAATTATATTTGAGTATCTTTAGATTTTCATTTTTTTTAGCTGTTTTGTTCTTGTGTATATATGCTTAGAACTTTTCCTCTCAAAGTTGATTTTTTGGTTCAGTATTATTATAAAATCAAAGAGGATGTGAGGTAATGAAATTTTAGATGTAATCAGTTATTTCAGAATTATTATGGTATGGATCTAACTTTTTTGATAAGTTCTTTAACTTTGTTTTGTTATAATTTTAGAGATTTTTCTTTTCTCATTTTTTTCTTTAAAGAATTTGTTTCTCAAAATTTAGTTTTGCTTTTTTAATTAAACAGGTCTTGGCTACTACCTTTGACCCATATTTGGGTGGCAGGAACTTTGATGAGGCCTTAGTAGACTACTTCTGTGATGAGTTCAAGACCAAATATAAGATAAATGTAAAAGAAAACTCTCGGGCCTTGTTACGTTTGTATCAGGAATGCGAAAAACTCAAGAAGCTAATGAGTGCAAATGCATCCGATCTTCCACTAAACATTGAGTGTTTCATGAATGACCTTGATGTTTCTAGTAAAATGAACAGGTACCATGTGTTTTTCAATTTGAAAATTGTTTCCTTATTATGTTCAGATCACATCAGATTTGGGGAGACAGGGGGTTGTGCCAGAATTGAACTCAGGGGCACTGGATCACTTAGTCACTTCCCCAGCCGTATTTTGTATTTAATTTAGAGAGAGGGTCTTATCAAGTTTGGTAGCACCTCTCTTTTGCTAAGGCTGGCTTTGAACTGGTGATCCTCCTGCCTTAGCATCCCAAGCTGTTGGGATTATAGGCGAGTGCCACCTTGTCCAGTCACATTTGATTTTTTAATTGTTATTTTAGAAGGTATGCTTAACTTTTTATCCAAATATAATGAGTTTTGTTGTATTTTCTCACAGGGCTCAATTTGAACAATTGTGTGCTTCCCTCTTTGCCAGGGTTGAACCACCTTTAAAAGCAGTAATGGAGCAAGCTAGTAAGTGGAAATTCTGTCAAAACTGTAGCATGTAGTAAAAGGAAATAAAAACTTCACTTTCTTTAGAAGACTTGTATTTCTCATTTTAGATTAAATTATTCATTCTTTAGTCATAAGATAGGACACTAGAATTCTGAGTTTATGAAAACTTGATCCTTTGATTGTTTACATCATAAAGCCAATGTTCTGTTTGGAGATGTGAGTATATATAGAAGATTTTTAAATTGCCCTTTTAACTTTAATTATTAATTAAATCATGGGGATATGATTACTTTTATTTATTTAATTTTGGTGGGCAATTAAAAATACCTTCAATAAGTCTAGTAGAGGAAGGAGAATGCAAGAGGGGAGGGAGGATGGAAAGGGAAAAAGGGAGGAATCATGAACTGAAACTGATTTCCATGTAGCTATGAGTTTGAACAGGATGAACCCAACTACTATGTATAACAATAAAGCTCTAATAAAAAAGAAAAGGAAAAAAAACCTTCTATAGAGGATACTGGGAATGTAGCTCAGTGGTAGAACACTTACTTGCCTGGCATATAGGAAACCTCAATTCAATCTCCACTACCACTCATGTGAGTGCATGCTCACACACACAATCATAATTTAGCTGGGTGTGGTGGTGCACACATGTAATCCCAGGTACTTCAGAGGCCAAGGCAGAAACAAGCAAATTCAAGGCTGGCCTGGGAAAGTCAATAATACCCTGTCTCAAAATTAAAAGAATTGAGGATGTAGCTCAAAGGTGGAATGCCTCCTGAGTTCAATTCCCAGTATCCAAAACAAAACAAACCAGAATGAAACCTCCTACAGAAGTTTGTAAGGTGAAAGTGAGAAAATTAAAGGAGGCTGACTACATTTAAAATATAAGAAGAGCTTTTCTGTCCTTTGATGACTCCATCATCTGGACCAAGTCCGGTATATATGACATAGATAACGTACATTAATTCTGCCTTCAGTTGTTTACATCTGCTATTTTATCTTTTGAGCATAGTAAAATATTTACCTTTTAAAATCTACTTTCCAGTGCCATCTATTAGCAAATTTTGAAGGCTATCTTACTTTTCTCATTGAAAAACATCTTATTTCCAGACTTACAACGGGAAGACATAAGTAGTATAGAAATTGTAGGAGGAGCAACKCGGATTCCTGCAGTGAAGGAACAGATCACGAAGTTCTTCCTTAAGGACATCAGCACCACCCTAAATGCTGATGAAGCTGTAGCAAGAGGATGTGCATTGCAGGTTGGTTATTTTATTCCAGAATGTGAATTTTGCAAACATGCGTCTTATGTCTGAAAAGGGGACCTTTTTAATATAATGTATTCCAACTACATAACGGCCTAAAGTCATTGGAATTATTCCTAATAAGTTTCTGTCGTTCTCATTCATATTGTTGAGCTCTAATAAGATTAATATGCCTGTAATTACACTGAAAGAATGCTGATTTTATAGATTCTTGGAACTATGTATTTACTGATATAAGTATGGTATATACTTGTTATTTCAGTGTGCAATTCTGTCACCAGCATTCAAAGTGCGTGAATTTTCTATAACAGACCTGGTTCCCTATTCAATTACATTAAGATGGAAGACCTCTTTTGAAGATGGAACTGGGTAAGTTTTTTTTTTTTTTAAGAGCTTATCCCAAATCTTTATAACATACTTTTTCTAAATTAGAGGATTAAGTCCACTTCTTAAAATTGTGTTAAAACTTTTCAAAGTGGTAAAAAAAAAAAAAAGTGAATGTAAGAATGATGTAACTTGTAAGCCATGTGGGCCTGTGTGCATATCAATTTTAATATAATGCTGACTTACAAATGAAAATGAGAATCTAAAAATGTTAAAAAACTTGAATTTCCTGTAACCTAAGTCCCTTACCCCATTTTATAGGTGTAATCATCTTTAATAATAAGAAAAGAGCTGTCCCAGGTCTTTTCTTCAAATATCCACAAATAAAAGCATGTTTCTATTTAGTACACATCAGATCACCTGAATATCTGTAGTGTAGCTTGTTTCTTTAAAAAAAAAGAAAGAAAGAAAGAAAAGAAAAAGGTACCTTTCCATCTGAACAGAAAATAACTCTTCAATAGTTGTGTATGCCTTAATAATTAAATTGAACCAAAACACTACATTAAGTCACATTTTTCCTATATTTCAAGCACTTTTATTAGCTTTGCACACATATCCTTGTCCAGTTTGGAATATCTGAAAAATAGCAGTAGGAGGAGAATTATTGAGCCAGAGTATACATACTGGAGGATTATAACTTGCAAGATATTTAAATGACTTTGTTTTGACATCAGTTTCAAAGCAAGAAGTATTCTGTAAAATTTAATATCATTTAAAGTTATAAGTTATCTAGGAAGAAAATTATAAGAAAAGCATAGGGGAGCTAAATTAGAAAGTAAATGTATCCAAATAAGTACAGTAAGAAAAAAGATATTGGTAGATATTTGAAAACAAGGATGGAAAGTTATATAAATTGGAGTTTTTTAAAGTTTGTATAAGTAAGGTATTAGGATCATCATAGTTTTAAAAAGTGAGTTTCTGGGCTACTATATAGTCTTAAACCTCATTTAAGGAATGGGAATTGTTGTGTGGATTTTAAAATTTGGGGGTCAAAAAAAAAAAACTTCCTGGTCAGGTGTGGTGGTGCATGCCTGTAAACCCAGTTACTCTGGAGGCTGAGACAGGAAGGTGGCAAGTTCAGGGATAGCCTCAGCAACTTACAAGGCCCTAAGCAACTTAGTGAGATCCTGTCTCAAAATAAAAAAAGGGCTGGGGATTTAGCTCAGTGGTAATGTGCTCCTGGTACCAAACAAACAAAAAACCTTCATGTATTTGGAGAGGAAGGTAGAAAATACTTAAAAGGACAATATTACACCAATTGAGAAAACTGGGATTTGGATGATAGAATCAACAGAGAAATATACCTACTAAGTATACATTCATACCAGATATCACTCTTGTTGAGGAGAAAATGCCCAAGGAGAGAGTGTGTACACTCACTCATAATAAGACAAAGGGGTAAAATGTTAACAGTACCTAATCTAGGCAAAGGATATGCAGTATTCATTGACCATTCTTCTGTTTTTGCATCCTTCTTTGAGTTTATTTCCAAATGGGTTTTTTTTTTGGGGGGGGGGGGTTCTTTTTTGTTGTTGTTTTTGTTTGTTTCCTTAAGGGAACAGGAATAAAAAGGGTTTCATATGGTAAGTATTTTGGAAGTCAGTGGGCAGGGCTTGATCCTCAAATATCAACCAGAAGAAGAAAACCTATAATCCCTACATCTTTAACTTAAAATATGCATATTCTCAGGAAAATAGTTATTCAGGTAATTTTTCCTTTTAGTAGTATATAATTGTCCTTTTATGACAGACATTCTGAAAACTTGTCAAAATTCATGTTTGTAATAAGCAAAGTAGTTTTTTAACCTTTTTCCTAGAGATCCTTGGAGTTGCTGCATGTGAATTAAGAATGAAATGGATCTGTAATTAAGTTAATAGGCAACACTTTTTGTTTTCTAAATAGTCTTTCCCACTGTATTTTAGGGAATGTGAAGTATTTTGTAAGAACCATCCTGCCCCATTCTCAAAAGTCATTACTTTTCACAAGAAGGAACCATTTGATCTAGAAGCATTTTATACTAATTTGCATGAAGTGCCTTATCCTGATCCAAGAATTGGTAAGAGAACTCAAAATATTTTTTTCCATGAATTTTTGGCCTTTTATAAATAATGTGGAATCAAAGAAACAAATGGATGTTTCAGCTAAACCAGCTCTGGATTTTTAAAGATATTTGTACTTTTTTATAAATAGGTACTTTAGTGCTCGGTTTATTTCTAAGATGACAGCAAGTTTGAGTATTCTTAATTCATTTTGACTTATTGGCCTGCAAACATTGTGTGAAGGTTACTTTTCATTGAAAAACTTTTCAATGAAATTGAAGTTGTGCTGCTAGACTGAATTTATATTCTGATTTTAAACTTTACTGGCAACAACTACAATGAATATTATTAGATTAACATGAAAGTGGGAAGACGATAATATCTATTTTCATTGAGTAATCTCTTCATACATAAAAATGCAATTTAATAGCATTTCAAAGAGAAGGAATAATTAAGTTTTTTAAGTTTTTCTATATTGATAACTAAAAGAGAAACTATAGCTTATTTCATATAWGTCATTTAAAGTGTACAAACTATTGAGTGTTATATTAGTTTGTTACACTGCTATAATAAGTTCTGCAAAATAGATGGCTTGAACAATACGAATTCATTATCCCAGTTGTGGAAATGAAAGTCTGAAAACAAGGTATCCGCAGTTGTGGTCCCTTCTGAGGGCTGTAAAGAAAGGATGACCTTCTTCATATTGATATCACGTCTTCTCACATATGTGTATGTGTGTGTTTCCAAATTTCTCCTTTTCATAAGGGCACTGCTCATACTGGATTAATGATATCCATTTTAATGACCTCTTTAAAATCCCTATCTCCAAATATACAGTTGTGTTCTGAGGTACTAAGATGGTTAGAACTTCAACTTATGAATGTTAGGATACAACGCAACTCATCAAAAGGTTATCTAGATTTTTTTGCCATCCAATTTTTTTGCCTGATATTCTCTCTTGTACTGTGTATATCATTAATTTTGTTACAGGAAAAATACAAAAAAAAGTGGAATTGCTTTATGAATTAACCAGGTTGATTATGATTTATAAAACTCAATAGTTAAGAAGTAATGTATGCTAGGCTTGCTAGCGCACGCTTATAGTCCTGGCAGCTTGAGAGGTGAGGCAGAAGGAKCACAAGTTCAAAGCCAGTCTCAGCAAAAAGCAAGAACCTAAGTAATTTAGTGAGACCCTGTCAAAATACAAAATAGGGAAATAGGGCTGGGGATGTGGCTCAGTGGTCAAGTCCCCATGAGTTCAATCTCCAGTTACCTCCCCCTCCCCCCACCAAATAAAAGGGTAATAATTTGTTTTCAGACTCAGAAGTTGGATTTAGTTTAATGGCTTCAGAGTACAAGTGTTAAAATGTATTGAGAAGTTAAATATTGCCTTTGAATTAAATTTTCCCAGGTTAAAATAGCAACTGTTTTTCTACCATTGATTATCTTGAGCAAGTAAATCTTTTTCAGTCTTAATATCAGGTTTGTTATGATATAAAGAAAATACTAATGGGGAAAGGACCTGCCCCTTAGTAATTAGTATATAATTGTTTGACAAGATCTTAAAGATAGTAGTAAAATTAGTGAATAAAGAATTGAATGAGGGGCTGGGGATGTGGCTCAAGCGGTAGCGCGCTCGCCTGGCATGCGTGCGGCCCGGGTTCGATCCTCAGCACCACATACAAACAAAGATGTTGTGTCTGCCAAAAACTAAATAATAAATATTAAAAAAAAAAAAAAAAAAAGAATTGAATGAAAGGTTGCTTGAGGAGTAGCTCAGGTCGACTGCTTGTCTAGCATATGCTGAGGCCCTATCTGAAACTCATGTACTGATCAAAGCTCTTTTTTCCTTAAGGGAGCTTCACTATTCAGAATGTTTTTCCACAGTCTGATGGTGATAGTTCCAAAGTGAAAGTTAAAGTTCGGGTTAACATCCATGGAATCTTCAGTGTGGCTAGTGCATCGGTAATTGAGAAGCAGAATGTGGAAGGGGATCACAGTGATTCTCCTATGGAAACAGAAGCTACATTTAAGAATGAAAATAAAGATGATGTGGTATGTAGAAATTCTGTCTCAAGATTTCCCTGATAAATACATACAATATCTTAATTATAACTGCTATTCTGATGGTTGAATACATTAATTTCTGATATTTTGTTTTGAATTTCTGTTATGGTCAGTGAAAAACTTAGATTTCTATTTAAATGATACATATTTTTGACATTGTAATACACTTTTCAGGAGATTTGTGCATCTTTCATAACATTAAGGTAGAGCATGTGAGTTTGAAATTATTTTTTCTAAGTTCTTCATTTCCATTAAAAGTATAATTTTCTGTGGCTAGATATGTACAGATAAAACCAATTCAAAATCAGTTTTGCACTGTACACAGATGCATACAAATAGACTTCTTCAGGATTTAGTTAGAGGATATCTGCAAAGGAATATGCTGTATATTCAATAACATTCAAGTAAAGATTAAAAGTTACGTTACACTGAATTAATTCTTAGTGTACTTATAAATGAAGGAATCTTAGGGGAACTTGATTATATTTCATTACACAAATTATTTTTAGTGGTATTTGTTAGATTTTTTTTCCCAGTCATATTTGAAGATCTACCCTAGATTTTCTTGCCTTCTACCAAGTACTTCCTATAAAGACTGTGGCATCCCCCCTCATCATGTTGCCCATGTACTATCTATTATTACATATTTCTTGTTTAAATTGAGCAGGAGGAAGTGTCCTAGTCTATTAGTGAAGATAATTAATTTTTCATAAGGGATTTCTAAGTAGATGTTCCTAAATATTCTTTTTATGATTTATACATTCAAGGGGGAAAGAATGGTAGCTAACATTATGGATCATATATTAAGCATTATTGATGAACACATGTTATCTATATAATCTCTTTTTAAATCTCTACCATAGCTGATAAAATAGGTGTTGAATAAATCGTCAGTTTATTTTCTCATGCTTCATGATAATAAAGGTATGATTTTAGTATATTTTGTAGAATATAGCCTATGTGCTTTATTTCTTAGAAGCATTAAGATTCTCTGGGATTTCTCTTTAATTTTGTATTTAGAAAATTTTTTTAAAAAAGCTTAAATATCCATTATAAAGCCACCCCCCCCCCAAAAAAAATATGTACCAATTCAAAGCAGAATCTTTTTTTCCATTTTAAACTAAGATAGCTCTGATTTTCCTAAAAATTGATACACTATATATATATGAGAAAAATTGATACCTTTCCTTACATTCATTATCTAGTCATACTAAGAAGTTACCTTAGACCATGTAACAGAACCAGGAATCAGAGCAACTGTATGTTGTTCATCATGCAAATGTACAACAATTTAAGTATTTCCCAATTCGTGTCCATTTGGGTTTTCTATTTATTTTTTAATTTCGTTGTAGATGGACACAATACCTTTATTTTTGTTTTACTTGTTTTTATGTGGTACTGAGGATCGAACCTAATGCTTCACATATGCAAGGCAAGCGTTATACTACTAAGCCACAACCCCAACCCTATTTATTTACTTTTTTAATTAAAATATTTGTATATAGTAAAGACTCTTTAGGTGCTTCAGACCCATTGATAAAACAACCTAGAAAAGAGGTTCTCACCAATCTGTAAACTTACATATTAGTCGTAAAAGACAGGCAAGAAGCAATGAGCTGGCATGTAAATATAAAGGAAATTAATGAGGATGCGTGGTAAAATTACCTGTGATAGTGATGAAAGTTTACTAGGAAGGAATAGGTATATTAGCCTTGAAGATGGAAAAGCAGTTTGTACAGAAAAGGAGTGGGTATTTTTATAGCAGAGGAAATAGCAAGTACACAGGCCACAAAAATGGGAAACCCTTGTGTTTTAACAGATAGAAAGGTGACTGATACATAGGATATAAGAACAGAGAAGGGGACAGTGGCAAGAAAAAGTGAAATTGAGAAGGTATATCAAAGGGAAAAATCTTATAGTTCATGATAGTGATTCTGGATTTTATTCTTAAGTGCTGTGCTTTTTAACTTATTCAGCAAATAAGAAAAGAGTACCTGAAATGCATGATTGGATATATAGCAAGGAGCTCAAAGATGATCTCAATTCCCAGGTGTTTAAAAATCACAGAAGCCAGAATCTAGAGATTCCATTAATTCTCCCACTATTAATAATATTCCTGTGAATATTCTTTTTAAAGTCATTACAAATGACCACCATTCTATATTAATTGTAAGATAATTTTTTTACATCTATGTAATTTTTTCATATACATATATACACACATATGTACATGAACTAAATTATCATTATGAAGGATAACATACATTCACTTTTGGACTTGGCAGTAGTCATGATATAGATCTAAGAACCTTTGCATATATATGTGAACTTAGTTTTTATTCCTGCTAGCATGACTGGCCTTTCTGTCATCATAACCACTAAGGACCATTCAAGTCTTAGCCATTATAATGACTTTCTGGTAAGCTACAATAGCATTGTATGTGTCAGTGGCTTATAAGAAAATATTAAAGACCCATTTTTAAACTGATAATGTGTTACTGATGCCCTTGGCAGAAAAGAGGATGATGCTGTTAAAAAAAAAAAAAAAAAAAAAACAACAAAAAAACACAACAAAGGAAAACTTTAACAAGTAGATAAAGTAATTCAGAAAGTTGGATTCTCAATGTCAAGAAGTTTTAGAAATACATTTACCATATTTGGCTTAATTATTTTCTTCTGTATAGTCAAGAGACATAACTGAGGATGCATGGTAAATATGTGATAGTGATGAAATGACGATAGTGATGAAATAATCTTAACAGAGGAGATTATTTTTTTCAATATGTACAAAGTAAAAATTTTAAGCAATAAAGCAGTGTGACCACTTAGTTGACAACATTTTTGTCTAACATGTTAGCATTAATAAAATATTTGTGTCTTATGTGGCCCCAACTCAGTACTTTTTCACCTCTTAACCATCACAGGATCTGAGGAGGGTCTAGTGTTAGAAAGAAGGTCTTAGAACATCAGAAATAATTGTTCAAAGAGTCATCTGCTAATCTATTTTTCTTTTTTGCACAAGTGACCATTTATTCAAAAAAGCTTTCTGGGTATTATATATTTGCTCAATTCTAGATATAGAAGACCTAAATTATTTGGATTCCTATGTTCTAAATTTTCTTAAAGATGTTGGTGAAAGAAGGGTCCTCAGGAAAATCTGTTATTTACACTTATTTACCAAGTGGAGAGTCCATTTTGAGCAGGGGGTGTAGATTGAAAGTTTATTTTTCAGACATAATAATTTCATATTTTAGCTAGACATGATAGCACACACCTGTTAATCCCAGGGAGAACCTGAGGAAGGAGAATTGCAAATTTGGCACCAGTCTCAGCAACTTAGCAAGATTGTTTGAACATTAAAAAAAAAATGCTGGAGGCTGGGGATGTAGCTCAGTGGTCAGGGTGCCCCTGGTTTAGTCTCCAATACCAAACCAAAAAATTAATAATTCAGAGACATCTTTTATGTAGTTTCAATGAGTTTCCTTCAGTATTTTGTTACATTTTTAATATATAGATTGAATTTGTGAAATAAATTACATATCTTTTTCACTTTATCTTTCCATTTTCTTCCTTATAAACATTTTTCTTGTTAATTTGAACATTCTCTTTCTTTGTAAGCCAGGTCTTATGTATCTTTATAAGTTTAAGAACAATTTTCTGTTGTGTTTTGCAATTTATTTGGTCACAGGTGAATGCAAACAAGATTTGTTCATATGGCATTAAGTACATCTTTTTATTTTACTTATTAATGGATTTGTTTTTTGTTCTCATTTGAGAAACATGTTCTCACATCTGAAAACAGGCTTTTGAGCTCTAAGGTAGTTTCTTGTCTATTTGTTACTGGGAATAACCCAGGGGTGCTTTGCCACTGAGCCAGATTCTCAACCCTTTTTATTTTTTTTATTTTGAGACAGTGTCTGAGGCTACCTTTGAACTTGAGATCCTTTTGCCTCAGCCCCCTGAATTGCTGGGATTACAGGCATGCAGTATAGCCACCTAAAATAGTTTATTTTTTAAGAAAATTAATAAGACTCCACATATATTATCAGTTATATATTTTCTTTCTAGGATAAAATGCAGGTTGACCAAGAAGAAGGAGTTCATCAAAAAGTTCATGCTGAACATACCCCAGAAGAGGAAATTGATCATACAGGAGCCAAAACAAAGGTTTGATTTTTCTGTTTTATCTTTTGAGATTTATATTTTGAATTATTTCCTTTATAATGATAGTTTACATATTGTCCCATCTTCTCACATATGGAACATATATAAAAATTTTAAATTCAACAATAAATATACCACTTAATGGTAAATTTGAAATAATACTTGAATATTGTATGCAGAATTGAAAACTTGGGACTTGATGGGTTAATACACTTCATACTTTTAATGTTAGATTTATGGGAAATTATGGAAAACTTACAGCCAGAATGAATATATTTCAATTTTCATTATTTGAGGCTTTATAATATGACCCTAATAATATGTGTATAATCCTATTTTTCACAGGAAAACAGAACAGATATTTCAGTAACTTTCTCATTAAAAGTTTTACAGTAGGGCTGGTGTTGTGGTTTAGTGGCAGAATGCTTGCCTAGCACATGTGAGGCACTGGGTTTGATCTTCAGCATCCCATAAAAATAAATAAACAAAGATATTGTGTCCCATGTATAACTAATATATATATATATATATATATTTTTTTTTTTTTTTAAGTCATAACAGTATCAGAAAGCTTGAGGTGAAACAAGTCAGATGAAGGAAACTTAAGTTTGCAGTGCTCTGCAACTCACAGTTAACCACTCCAAGTGTTTGCTGCATAGAGTATTTCTTTTTGCAGAAACATTTTGAAATGTAAATTTTGAAAGGATAAATTACTCCACTTTTTCTTCTTTTTTTATTTATTTATTTTTTGGTACCTGGGATTGAACCCTGAATCACTGAGCCACATCCTCATCCCTTTTTATGAAATATTTTACTTAGGAACAGGGTCTGTCTTAGTTGCTTAAGAACTGAAATTGTTGAGGCTAGCTTTGAACTTGAGATCCTTCTGTCTCAGCCTCCTAAGCCACTCAGATTATAGCTGTGTGCCACCATGCCTGGTCATTACTCCACTCTTTGAGAGTAATTATTTTACCATCTAGTCATTACCTTAAAAAAGGAAAGTTCCATTGTGGCTATAACTATTCTATCATCTTCAACAGATTGTTCTAAATTGCACAGAATATATAATCTGTATTGGTTAGCTGTGTAAAGCACCTCAGGTTTTAAATCAAGACACTCTAAATTATTTAAAACCTGAAAAGTGTTTTTCTACCTTTTCCATTTTAACCTGTTTTTTTTTTTTTTTTTTTTTTTTTAAATAACAGCTTGAGATACAGTTTGCAGACTATACAATTCACCCTTTTTAAGTATGGAGTTGAGTGATTTTTGGAATATTCATGGAGCGTGTACCACTGGCATCATAGTTTCAGGCCATTTTCATTTCCCCCAAAACAGTGTTGTACTTATTGTCAACATTAATTCTTCATTCCCCTAACCTTTTCTCTGCCAGTCCTAGGCAACCATCAATGTGTTTTAGTTTCTATAGATAAGTCTTTCATGGATATTTCACCTGAATATAGTTACTGATGTTTTCCTGCCCTAAGCTTGCTGTCAGTGTTCATCCTAGTTAGTAGGGTGTGTTAATAATTCATTCCTTAAAAGGACTTAATCATACTTCATTGGATGAACATTTACCACATATTATTTGTCCTTTCATCAGGAGATGAACGTTTGATTTTTTTTTAACCATCATGAATACTGCTGTTAATGAAAAATCATGTACACATTTTTGTATGGGTGTAATACCCAGAAATGGAATTGCTGGGTCATACAGTATCTCTGTTTAAGGTTCTGAGGAGCTTCATAGTTTTCAAAAATCACTATATGTTTTACAGTCTCACTAACAATACATGAAGATTGTAGTTTCTCCACATCCTCACCAATACCTGTTTACTTTTTTTAAATGATGGTCATCATAGTGTGTGTGAAGTAGCAGCTGTTTGTACTATAGATTTACATTTATGACCCAATATTTGTTATGTAGAACAGATTTACTATTGTATTATTTTTAAAGTATAATAGTAGTAGTAGTTTGACTTTTACATTTTTGTTTCACTTCTAAAATTACTCTTAAATTTATTTTTAAGCTAGTTTTAGAAATTTTCACTTTTCTTAAATTTTTGTTTCAGACAGCACCCTCAGAAAAACAAGAACGATTAAATCAGACCATTAAAAAGGGAAAAGTCAAGAGTGTTGATCTACCTATCCAGAGTACCCTATGTAGACAGCTGGGCCAAGATCTTCTCAACAGCTACATTGAAAATGAGGTATATAAGTCTGATTGAATTTTGAAACGTGGTGGTATATTCTGATATTTTATAGTCAGTAATCTCCAAATTCTGGGTAATAAGTGAAAAATACTAGAAGAATTATTAAGCAGATCATTCACTCACATAATTTTTGACAAAATACTGAACTAGATTAATATCATTTATAATAATTTTATCTTATTTATATGAAAGATAATACTATATCCTCTAAAGAGAAGAACCTTTCTGAGACTTGGGATTCTTGCCCCCTTAAGTTCTGTCATTAGTAGAAGCACCATCTCATGTCACATGGTGAAGTTATGAGCAACTCCATTTTTTAAAATGCATATCCTTTGAGATTAAGGTTCTAGTCATGTTTTCTGACTTTAGTTGAATAGATTTTAAAAATCTGTTTCTATTAACATTTTCTTACATGTTTAATACTAGTCTCTTGAGGTAACAAGTTTTATTTCTTCATCAGTAATTATATTAGAAGTAATTTATTTCATTTTTTTAGTGATGGTTCCTAATTTTTTCAAGCTTGGCTGGCATTAAGAGGTCAGTCTCAAGAGTGCCTTCTATTTTACCACCAACTGTACGTTATTTTAACAAGAAATTTTGACTTTAAATACTTTTTTGTTGTGTACTTACATCAAAAGTACATTTTGTGTGAAGTAAGCGTTCTTTGAGGTCTTGTATTATGTTAGGAGGCTAATTTTCCCAAAGGAATGAATTGATTGGCAGGTATCATATATGACATTTTTCGTAGTTTTTAATTTTTATCTTAAATTATTTATGTCAGTGCATTGTAGTTTATAAAGAACTTATGTTTAAAATACCACATTTTTCTTAAAATGACAATTTTGTTATCTGTAGATTATTAGTTTTTGATTATAATACTTTTTGCTAACAACTTTAAATACTTTTAATATCTTATTATTCCTCGAAACAAATATATGAAGCATAGGTTTCCATTTTTTAGATGAGAAAACTCAGGCCAATCTATACTAAGCTGCCCAGGGTCAGAGAGTAACCTTTGGATTCAGACTCTCCAAATCTCAGCATCAGTCACTTAGTATCCCCTACTGAGACTCACATTTATTCAGTACCAGGCATTGTACTAAATATTTTATATAAATTACTCAGTCTTACTAACATCCCAGTAAGTTACAATTCCACACTTTATTTTAGGATCAGAAATTGGAGGTTAGGTGACTTTGTTGATCTCAAGCTGATAAACAGGGAAACTAGGGTGTGAACCTGAGTATATATAATTGACACAGTCTGTTTTATTCAGCAGTTGTTTTAAAAAATATTTTTTTGTAGTTGGAGGTGGGGACAATACTTTTATTTTCTTTATGTTGTGCTGAGGATTGAACCCAGGGCCTCACATGTGCTAGGCAAGCACTCTACACTGAGCTACAACTCCAACCCCTTATGCCAACGATATGATTCTACACTTAGAAGACCCAAAAAATTCCACCAGAAAATTTCTACAACCAGTAAATAAATTCAGCAAAGTAGCAGGAATACAAAATCAGTCAACACCCATAAATCAAAAGCATTTCTGTATCAGTGACAAATCCTTTGAAAGGAAATGAAAACAACCCCATTTACAGTAGCCTCAAAAAACATAAAATACTTGTGAATCAACCTAATGAAAGAAGTGAAAGACCTCTATAACGAAAACTACAGAACTCTTTCAAAGAAATTAAAGAAGACCTTAGAAGATGGAAGATCTTCATTGTTCTTGAATAGGCAGAATTAATATTGTCAAAATGACTACACTACCAAAAGCATTACGCAGATTAATGCAATCCCAATGACATTTCTCATAGAAATAGAAAAAGCAGTCATGAAATTCATTAAAAATACGAGACCCACAATAGCTAAAGCAATCCTTAGCAAGAAGAGTGAAGCAAGTGGCATCACTATACCAGACCTTAAACTGTATATACTATAGAGCAATAGTAACAAAACCAGTGTGGTATTGGCATCAAAGTAGACTGGTAGACGAGTGGTACAGAGTAGAGGACACAGAAACTAACCCACATAATTACTTTTATCTTAAATTAGACAAAGGTGCCAAAAACAAGCATTGGAGAAAAGATAGCCTCTTCAACGAATGACGCTGGGAAAACTGGAAATCCATATGCAACAAAATGAAGATACTCACATGGCACACAGTTCACACATTTTAAAAAGTATATAGTGATTTTTGCATATTAYAATATGAAGTTTTAAAAATTATGCTTTAATATAGCATAAAATTTGCCATATTAACTGTTCTATTTATTTATTTTAGTTGTAGTTGGACACAATACCTTCATTTTATGTATTTATTTTTATGTGGTGCTGAGGATCGAACCCAGGGCCACACATGTGTGAGGCGATTGCTCTACTGCTGAGCCACAACTCCAGCCCGATATTAACTGTTTATAAATGTACAATTCAGTGTCATTAATTATATTCACAATGTTATATGAACATCACCACAATTTTCAAAATTTTTCATTGCCTCAAAACAGAAATTATGTAACCATTAAGGATTAACTTTCCCTTCTTCCCTTCTCCCATTCCCCAGTACTGCTTTCTCTATATCTGAATCTACCTGTTCTAATTAACTCAGAGTACTTGTCCTTTTGTGTTTACCTATGTTGTTGTAGCATGTACCAGATGTTATTCTTTTTTTAAATATTTTTTTAGTTGTAGATAGACACAGAATATATTTATTTTTATGTGGTGCTGAGGATTGAACCCAGTGACTCACATTCAAGGCACATGCTTTACCACTGAGCTACAACCTCAGTCCCTATTTCATTCCTTTTTAAGATTGAATAATAATTCCATTGATTGTACATTCATTTCATTTATCCATGGATCTGTACATGGACACTTGAATTGTTTTTATTTTTTTGGCTATTGTGAATAATTGTAATTAACAAATACTGTTTTGAGTCCCAGCTTTCATTTCCTTTGGGTATCTTTGGAGGAATAAAATTCTAATTCTGTGTTGTGTTTTTTATGGAACCTGTCAGTTTCCATGGTGGCTGCAGCATTTTACATTTCCACCATTAATGTGTGAGGGTTTCAGTTTCTCCACATGTTCATGAATACTTATTTTCAGTTTCTTAAAATATTTTCCTCTTAATAGGTATGAAGTGGTGCCATTATGGTTTTGATTTGCACTTTTCTAACGTATGTTCTTACGACAGTTAATCTGAAACTTTTTGAATAGGGGAAGATGATAATGCAGGATAAGTTAGAGAAAGAAAGAAACGATGCTAAGAATGCAGTCGAAGAATATGTATATGATTTTAGAGACAGACTGGGCACTGTCTACGAAAAATTCATCACTCCAGAAGTAAGTCTAAATTTCATAATCTTTGAGAGCTATTTAAATCTTACCTGAAAATGTCAGTATGGATTATATTGATAAGTGTACCAAATTTGTTATCAATCTTCCTGAGCCTTCGGGAATATAATTCTTTTCCAAATTAAAGCATGGTGAAAAACATGTTAATGAATGAGTCAGAAAAATCATAAATTTAACTGAAAAATATCCTGTCTTTTCTTGATGACTTTTTTTTTTTTAATCAGGAAAGCATTTGTAATCAGTCTCTCTTAAATGTATAACTAGGACATGAGTAAACTGTCTTCAATACTGGAGGACACAGAAAATTGGCTTTATGAAGAAGGAGAGGACCAACCTAAACAAGTTTATGTGGATAAGCTTCAAGAACTAAAGGTAAAAATTTTGAAGTTCCATATTAGGGTTRAATGAAATATTTGGTTCTTAAAAATTATGGTATAAAGGCAATGTACTTGTTTAGTTAAATTTATTTTTAATTGACAGGTAAAATTATATATATTTAATGGTGTACAACATGTTTATATGCATATGAATATATATATATCTTAGAATGGCTAAATCAAGAGACATGAAAAATTGTTCTATTTGTGTATTATGAATTGAATTGTATTCTGTCAAATATAACATTTGAATAAACTAAATTTAACTTAAAAAATGGAAAAAAGTAAAAAGAAACAGGTTGAATTAATATTAATGTTTCATTTAACACACTTAAAAAAAGTGACTAAATCAGACTTGACAGATGCATTACTTAACATACTTTTATTGTGATAACACTTAAAATCTACATAGTTTTCAGATATATAATATTGTTATCAGCTGTGTTCTTCAGCTTATCTCTTATCTAATTGAAATATTGCATTCTTTCAACATTGTCTCCCCATTCGTCTCTCCATCCAATTGGTGATCACCATTTTACTATCTGCTTTGGAGTTGGACTTTATAATGTAGACCCATGAGATCATGCAGTATTTGTCTTTTTTTCCCTAACCTATTTTCACTTAGTGTAATGTCCTTTGGGTTAATTCAAGTTGTTCCAAGTGATTGGATCTCTCCCCAGTACTGAGAATCTAACTGAGCTACATTCCCAGCCCTATTTTGTATTTTACTTAAGACAGGTTCTTGCTGAGTTGCTTAGCACTTCTCTGTTGCTGAGGCTGTTTTTGAAATTGTGATACTCCTGCCTCAGCCTCCCAACCACTGGGATTACAGTTGTGGGCCACCATGCCTGGTTGGATTTCCTTCTTTTTAAGGCTGAACTGTATTACATTTCTTTGTCCATTCATGAATAGATTTTGTCCCTTTCCTTTTCTGAATAATGATGTAATCAATATGGGAATGCAGATAATCATTTCAATATGCTGATTTTATTTACTATGGAAATATAAGAAGTAACTAGTGCTGTGTAACTGAGATAATATATAATCATAATACTAAAATGTAAGTGTCTAAAAAATGAACAGAATTAATCTTTTGCATCTATGTATTAGTGAGTTGTCTTTTTAAGAAGTGTTAGAATTATCAACTTGATCCCTTCCTACTTATTGGAAGAATCACCCTTCACTTCTGTGATTTGGGGAGTAATAACACTCTGGCCTGTTGTATTTTTGCAGTGCAGCTGATGGAAAAACCAAGCAGCCAAGATGTCAGAGATAGCACCTCTGCTCTTGAATGTCCTTTCAGAAAAAAATTTAAACTTGGCCACCATGTCTGCCTTTCCTAAGTCATTGGTATGATTTTGAGGAAGGACCACTGTTGGCTTCTTTGTCCATGCTGGCTATGCTGTGCAACCCTTTCCCCATTCTAGAAAAAAAATACCTCTAAGTTTTATTGGAAGGATGAAAGGAAATTTTAGTCATTTCTTGGAAGTGTGGATCTTTGAGTTACTCTGATGTGCATATGTACTACTTAGGCTATTATTGAAAAGCAGATTCTGATTTAGTAGATATGAGAGGGGCCCATGTTTCTACATTTCATTAAAGCCTCCAAGTGATGCTGGTGTTGCTGGTTTATGAACCACTCTTTGAGTAGCAAGAAATTACATAGATGCTAGTGATGTGATTAATAAGGATTTTAGAATTTGGAAATTACAGCCCTTTAAGCACTGGGGATAGTAGGGTAAGAAAACACAAAAGATGTTACTTCAAAGTAAAAGAAACTAATAATCATGCAAAAATTATTTTCATGCCAGTAAATTATTTCCAAAGGGAATAAGTAGCAACTAGAAAAATCTGTTTATATCAGAAGAATTAAGCATTATCATAGTTTATATTCTCAGTGATTTTTTTTTTTTTTAACATGCCACATCCCTAAGGGAAATGTACATTAATTTTTTTTTTTTTTCCAGTACTGGGGTGGAGCCCCCGGGCACTTTACCACTAAGCTACATCCTGGTCCTTTTACTTTTTGTTTTGAGACAGGGTCTCCCTAARTGCTGAGGCTGGCCAACAACGTGCACTTCTCCAATCTCAACCCCTCTAGTAGCTGGGATTACAGGCATGTGCTGCAACACCTGGCCCGTTTTTTTTTAATATTGGGAAAGCCAAGCAGCTGAGGCCAGTGGACATAATTGCAAATCTTAGCAGTACTTAACCTTGATTCTTTGCCTTAAGTATATTAAGAAGCCATAGAAATGAATGTTAACAGAATTTTTCACATTTCTGTGGTGGTAGTGGTTTTTGTTGTTGTGCTGGGCCTTGAACCTGGGGCCTTGTGTATGTGAGGCAAGCACTCTACCAACTGAGCTATATTACCCAGTCCCTAGTTTTGTTTTTGAGGTGACCTTTAAAAAAGTGAAATATCTGCTCCTCTTTGAAAATTAAATTCACTGAATGCATTATGATATCCTGGAACAGAGGTGAAATCTGGATAAAGACTGGGATTCTGTTCAATATTAACTTGTCAGTGTTGAATTTTTTTTTTCAGATTTGACAAATGTACCATTAGATATTACATTAGAGGAAAGCAGTGATAATGGTTGGCTTTCTATTTTGTAACTTTTCTGTAAATCTGAAATTACTGTTAATCTGCTCTCATTTTTATCTTAGTATATAAAAGAATTTAAGAGAAAATAGTTCTTTTTCTCCTTCATGTGCTTCCCTCTCAAAAGTTTGTGTAGGTGGTTTTAACATTGAGAAATAAATCTAAGCACTTAGAAGAGAAAGAAATTAGAGTATGCATTTTAATCTAATGATTTTATATATATATATATATACTATGCACACATATATAAAAGATAGCAAATATTAACTGTCAATAATCATGTTGCATATACAGTTACATGGTTATAGAGTTATATTAATTTTGAAACCAAGTTTAAAATCCATGAATTCTGTATGTACTATAAAATAGTCCTTATGGTTTCTTTCTCTAATAGTTTTGTAAAGTATTCTCACCTATCTTTGAAAAAAAAAAAAAGTAAGTTTTGATTGGGACTTTGGATTTAAATTGTATAAATGAGAAAGAAATAAGGCGCTTGTTAGGCATTCTTCCTTAACAATGAACAAAAGCCAGTGGAAGTACTTCTTTGTAGGGAAATAGAGGGAACATGTTTTAATATAGCCATTATATTATTCCAAAGAGCCAAATAAATTTTATGTTAAAGCTCTTGTTCTTTTTAACATTTTTCTTTTATTAATAGAAGTATGGCCAGCCTATTCAAATGAGGTACATGGAACATGAAGAGAGACCAAAAGCTTTAAATGACTTGGGAAAAAAGATTCAACTTGTCATGAAAGTGATAGAAGCCTATAGAAACAAGGTATTGAATTAATAAGGACAATATGTAATGATGGTGTGTGTACCTGGGAAAGGTGGGATCTGTCCAAAACTTCTTAGCCACAGAGCTGTAGTAGTTGTTGCTGTCCATTTCCAGGGACTTTGTATAACCATACTTAAAACTTTTTTTTTTAATTGAAGACAGTTATTAATAGAGGATTCTGATACACTTAAAATCATTGGCTTTTGTAGATTTTCCTCAAGCCACTATATACATTAATCCAGTGACCAAATTATTGTGTTTTTTTGTAATTGTCAATGTATCTTTTATTTTATTTATGTATATGTGGTGCTGAGGAATTAACCCAGGGCCTCACACATGGCAGGCAAGCATTCTACCACTGAGCCACAACTCCTGCCCAAAACTTATTTTTTCCCACAATTCAACAGGCCAGAAATACAACATCAAGGTGTCAGCAGGGCTTCTGACCCTCTGAAAACACTGGAAGACGATCTGTTCCTTGCCTCTTCCAGCTTCTGATGACTAGGTGTTCCTTAGCTTGTGACTGCATCACTTCAATCATTTTGCATAGTCACATGGCCTCTTCCTCTTTTTTTTTTCTTTTTTTTTTTTTTTTAGTTGTAGATGGACACAGTTCCTTTCTTTATCTATATGTGGTGCCAAGGATTGAACCCAGTGCCTCGTACATACAGGCAAGCACTCTACCACTGAGCCATAACCCTAACCCCGCAAATTGTTTTCTTTTTAAAAAAGATTTTCATTTTTATATTTTCCATACAGTGAAAAAGAGATTCTTTTGGAAACATTTTCTTCCCCAGTGGGATTATGAGAGACTGAACTCTCATAGTCTTTACCTTGTWTTTTGGCTGCTTTTTTTTTAGTTGCTTTTGGTCATGTTCACAGTTCATTAATCATCCTTGCTCCCCCATATATACCCTTTATTCTTTTTAGATACATACTAAATTTGTAATACTTGTAGGCCTGAGAGATATATTCAAATGGACATATAATTTATGTAACTATAACAGAAAAATTTAACAAAATTAAACATACCATTTTCCTCCTCTAAACCAGTGGTTACCAGATTTTATCTTTGAGAAGAAAATTAATAAATATGAATCTTTGCAGTGTTTAATATATTGTCATTACAACTCTTCATCTCTTTGTTGTAGTGCAGCAATGGACAGTAGGTAAACAAATGGATGTGGTCATGTTCCCCAAAAAGGGTTTTTATTAAAAACATCGCTAGCCAGGCACAGTAGCACACACCTGTAACCCCAGCAGATGGGGAGGCTGCGGCAGTAGGATAGAGAGTTCAAAGCCTGCCTCAGCAAGGCGCTAAGGAACTCTAAATAAAATACAAAATAGGACTAGAGATGTGGTTCAATGGCCTAGTGTCTTTGACTTCAATTCCCAGTAACCCACCACCACCACCAAATTAGGCAGTCACTTGAACTTGACCCATGGGACAGGTTTACTGGTCTTACTTTCAAATAAATAATTCACTTTTATCCCCCAGTTTTTTATCATTGTTATAACTGCATTATTGTGTAGGAAAGACCAGCACCAGAAACTTTTCAGATATAGGAGCTTACATTTATCAAGCAGTGGTGAATTTTAAGCACTGTTCTTGGGGTATCTCATGTTATTCCCACAAGGATATATCCCTGACAGCATTAATACTGCTGTCTCAGTTTACAAATAAGCAAACTGAAGTGCTGAAGCAATTTGTTGAATATTGTATAAGTAGTAAATGATGGGGAACTGTGAATTAAACCTAGGTGGTCTGGTGTCAGCCTACAGATTTTCAGCAGCTATACTATTTTACCTGTTACACAATGTAGAAAGTTATTCTGTTTCAGAAGAGATCAATGAGGTTTGTAAAACAGAAATTGCAATCCAGGTAGCCTAAAAGTAAAAGCCATACACGCTACTTGTGAATAAGTCTGCAAATAACTTTCCGTATTTACTTAACATCACAAATAGTGTATAAAGAAGGAAAAGAAAGAAGGAACAGGCAGACAACAGAAAATGCCAAGATTTAAATTCTGTGGCTCAGTACTTTCTAGGCTTTGGCTGTCTTCTTGAGTGCGTGGAGAAAGTAAGGCACTGTTGAGGTGGTGATTTGTCAGAGAATGGTGGACTTCCAGTGGGACACAACATGGCAGAAGAGAACTGAAAGTGGTGAGGGCTCAAGATATAATAATAACTGGAAGAGAAATGTTCCAGCAAAATGGACTAGTTGCAGCTGAAAAGTCCCAGAGGAGAACATGTTGGAGAAATAGCAGGAAGGCTAGTGTGGCTTAAAACAGTAGGTAGAGAGCTTAAAATAGTAGGTATGGATGCCAGATCATGAAAGTCCTAGCCAGCCCAGAGATGTGAAATTGTTGGAGGTAATTAAGCATATTAGTGACCTGATTTATCTTTTTAGAGGGTTCGGAAGTAGACAAAGTTAAGACTCTGTTCAAGTAATACAAGCAAGAAATGGTGGAAGCTTGTACACAGATAATACAGGGACAAGAAGTGGTCAGATTTTTCACCTGTATTTGGAAACTAGAGCTTATAAGAATTATGATAGATACGATGTAAACATATCAGAAAGAGAAGTAAAAAAATCCTCCAAGGATGTTTATCTGAAAGGATGATGTTTCCACTTACTAAGTTGGGGAAAACTGAAAGAGTAGATGAAGATAAAATCGCGAGTTCAAAACAAGAGGTAGGTATTGAAGTTAGACTCCTATTTAAGAGTTCAAGAACGAGGTTCAGGCTAGAGAAATTTTTGAAGCGTTTAGGTAGAGAGATGAATGAAGATGAACTAGCAAAGGAAACTTAAGTAATCCATGATGTATGAATAAATTCAAGAAAACGTGGCAGCCTGGAAACTGAGTCAGATATAGTGGGTATGTGATTTGTAATCATACAAGCAGAACTTCTTGGAGTCTCAGAAAACCGGTGGCTTTAAAATGGGATCTCTGTCTTCCTATTTGGGTTTATTGAATTCTCTTTCCCTTGGTTTTCTCAGTTCAGTCTGTAATTAATCATATCATCATCTTGCTGTGTGTTATCTTGCCACTTCTGGTTTTGTAGCTACCAGTCTAATCCATGACTTCTTAGATTGTCTCTATTACGTAGCATTCTCCTGTTCAGGAACCTTAGCATCATGATACTGTATGTTCAGCATTTTCTGTCTAGCCTTCTATGTGCCTGTCACCTAATGTCTCCTATTCTCTAACAAACTCCATTCCATTACAGTGCTTTTTTTGTTGAATATTCTCTACTAATCATTCTTTTCTAAATCTGACTTCTTCAGAAAACTTCTTTTTAAATTCACACTGGTTTTATTTCTTCTAATCATTTTAGCTTTGTTATATTTGTATGTGGCTTCTTCACATGAATATTTATTAGATGTGCAATCAATAAGAATCTAAATTTTAAAAAAATATTTATCTTTTAGTTGTAGTTGGGCACAATACCTTTATTTTTATGTGGTGCTAAGGATCGAACCCAGGGCCTCAAATGCACTAGGCGAGCGCTCTACCACTGAGCCACAACCCATGCCCCAAGAATCTAAATTTTTAAACAGAAATTATCACTTAACTGGTGCGTACCAGAAAATAAATTAACATTAAGTAAAGCTTGTTTAATAGGATGAAAGATACGATCATTTGGATCCTGCTGAAATGGAAAAAGTTGAAAAATATATCAGCGATGCCATGATTTGGCTGAACACTAAGATGAATGCACAGAATAAATTAAGTCTCACTCAAGAACCTGTGGTTAAAGTTTCGGAAATTGTTGCAAAGTCTAAGGTAAGAAACAATTTTTTTTTTTTAGTTGTTAGACTTTTATTTTATTTCTTTATATGTGGTGCTGAGAAATGAAACCAGTGTATCGCACATGCTAAGCAATTGTTCCACTGCTGAGCCATAGCCCCAGCCTCAAATTCCCTTTTAATGATGAGTTCAAGGACTGAAATTGATTAATAAAATCATACTTCAAGAAATAATTTGTATCCAGGCATTGTGATGCATGCCTGTCATCCAACAGCTCAGGAGGCTGAGGCTGGAAGTTCTAAAGTTATAAGCCAGCCTCAGCGACTTAGTGAGACACTGTCTCAAAAAAAAAAATAAAAGGAGGTCTGGGGGTTTGGCTCAGTGGTTAAGTGCTCATGGGTTCTATCCTCAGTACCCAAAGAAAAAGATGCAGAAGAACTCAAAAATAAATTTAAGGCTAATCTCTTATTATGTTAAATTTGTTTTAAGTGATTCTAGGTATAGAATATCTGTTCTTTTTATTAATTTGTCACACAGGACTGGTGTTTAATTCAAGAGTAAAACAGTGAAGTAAAGCAGTGTGATGATTTTTGACAGCTGTAAATTCAAACTCAGAGATTCGGCGAGACCTCTGAGTCTTCATTGCAGTATAGGTATCTTGGACCCGGTTTGAAATTTGTGAATTCTGTGGTAAAATCTTGTTTTCAAAAGCTTGATCCTGAGATAAGCTAGGCAAATTAAATGTCAAAAGTTATCATGGAGGAGCTGGGAATGTGGCTCAAGCGGTAGCACGCTCGCCTGGCATGCACGGGGCGCTGGGTTCGATCCTCAGCACCACATAAAACTAAAATAAAGATGTTGTGTCCACCAAAAACTAATATTAAAAAAAAGTTATCATGGAAAACTTTATAAAAAAAATCAGCATCAAATAGAAAAATTAGTAAAAGGCTTGTTGCATTAGCAGCTGAGAAAAGAATAAACAAAAATATATGAAATAGAATTCATCCTTACAATTAACCTAAAAATTCCAAATCTTTTTTATATTTTTTTTTATATATATTTTCTGTGTGTATGTGTGTGTGGTGGTGGTGGTGCCTGGGATTGAACCCAGGGCCTTGTGTGTGGGTGGCAAGCACTCTACCAGCTGAGCTATATCCCCAGCCCCTTGTTGTATTTTTTTTTTTTTTTTTTTTTTTACAATCTTTGCAAGAGTTGGCAAGGATGTAGAGAGATGGATGATTTCCCCTGAGCAGTTAAGTTAAATTTGTTAGAACTTTCCTGGGACACTGTCAGAAAATTTATATAGGAATTTAACCTGTATATAATTTAACATGTCTAGAAATGACAATTCTAGGAACTGCTATATAAATAAATGGATGCATCTATATAACACTAAGTAGCCATTGAACATAATGGTTTAGATACAGAGATGTATCTCTTTAGATATAATGTTCAAGATATTGTCAAATAAAGAAGACTTTTTTAGAGTACTATGAGTAGTTTGTTACTAAAACACTCTTAAGATTTTACTTTCTTGGTATCTCTGCACCAATCTCTTTGACAATAGTCTTTCAGATTTTCCAATTTGATTAGTCTTATGTAGTAATTTTTTAAAATATGACACATAAAAAGCAGATAGAAGACACCTTGTATTCATTTAAATAATTAATGTTCAGTTTACTTTATGGCTTTTTTCTTCACCTATTTCCAAAAAATAGTGTTGTTAGTATGTGTATTTATGTCCATTATTTAAAAGTTATTCCTACCAAAGTAAATGGTATTTAAATTATGAAATAAGTTTTAGAAAGGTTAGATACAAAAATATTTTGTGAGGTCTGGTAGCACATGCCTGTAATTCCAGGGATGTAGGAGGCTGACACAGGAGGTCCGAAAGTTCAAAGCCAGCTTCAGCAACTTAGTGAGGCACCCTGAGCAACTTAGTGAAACCCTGTTTCAAAATAAAAAGGGATGGGGATATAGCTCAGTGGTTAAGTGCCCTTGAGTTCAATCCCTAGTATAAAAACCATTTTAGAGTTTGATTGCCGCAAACATTCACTAGTCAGAAGGTAAATCATTCATGAAGCTGTTGAAATAATGGTATCGTGGCTGAGCTTATAAATTTAGGAATTTGAAATTTTGTGAAATTTTAGAAAAATTATAGAATTTTGAAAGTTAATAGTAACTTAGTATTTTAAATATTTTTTCTCGTCTTTAGGAGCTAGATAATTTCTGTAACCCCATCATTTACAAACCCAAACCAAAAGTAGAAGTGGCTGAAGACAAAACAAAAGCTAATAGTGAACATAACGGACCAATGGATGGACAGAGTGGAACGGAAACTAAACCAGATGCAACAAAAGACAGCACACAGCATACTAAATCATCTGGGGAGATGGAAGTGGACTAAGTCTTAATTTTACCTTCATATAATTCAAATAGCAAATAGTGCAAGTAACCACAGGGTCCATTCATCTTTTACATCTGGCACACAAAACAGATAGATGTTCCATTGTTCTTAACTACTTTGTCATTTGTTTTTTGAAGTAGTTTTGCAAAGTGAGTGCACCTATCATTTCATTACTGCTTATGTGAAGCTTCAGCTGAATATAGATGTACAAGTCAGTTTTAGCTTTCCTGATGTAGTTTATATCAAACATGCAGAATTGGTATGTAATTGGCAATAGTCTACCTAAACCTCACTTCCTTTATTCAGGAAAGGATACCGTATTGCACTATTGTTGCAGAAGCATAGATTTAACTGCATTGTAATTTCGAAAAGCAAAAGTTGGTGTGGTTTAAAGCCACTGAGGGTACGGGCCTTTTTCTAGTTATTGTATTGTTATAATTTAAATATTAAAACAAATAAGAGGTTTCTGAACAAATTAGTCCATCTCATTGGTATACCACAAGAACTCAGTTTTGTTGTCATCTCATAAATGAACTAAGTCACATGTGGAAAGAGAAAGTGCACAATTTTATGTTAAACTGACACCAGCAGTTTGCCTCTTTAGTTAGTAATGTACATTGATGTTTTCTTAGAATCTCTTCTTTCACTTGAAACTGTTGATTTACTTGTCCAGAAGATGAGCTGCTGCTGAAATAATGCTAGCTTGAAAGAGAAGCCTTTTTGATGAAATTACATTATGGGGAAAATGCTGTTGACCTACTCAGACATGCATCTGTGATGTTGGTACCTCATTTCAGTTTTAATAGTTGTGTTGGTTTTCTTAATTGATTTTGTTCATATCTTAACACAGGGTAGGGAGAAATGGCACAATGCATTGCACAATAGTATCATTGATTTACTGAATGTTACAATATAAACACTATTAAATAAGCAGTAATACTGAAAAGGAGCACTTATACCATAAGACTTAGGAAATAATGGTTGTAATAAACTTAACTGTGTTACATATCAATAGGCAAAATATATAATGTTACATAGTGTGATATGATGTGATTAAATTATAGTTCCTGCTGTTAAATTTTTTTGAAACCTTGGCTCCAGTTTTGGTGCTTCTTAATTAAATTAAATGGGAGAAGGGACAGTAAATTTAGTATCATCACCAGATTTGTTCACATCATTCAATTCTGTCCAGGGTCTTCAAACTGTCTATGGAAAAAGACTGAAGTAATATGTCAACCTACAAGGGAAAGCACAGATAAATGCATGGGCCTTTGTGTTCTTAATGCCAGTCAACTAGATTAACTTACATTGATATTTTGAAAGACTAATTTTATCCCAAATCTAAGTTAAATATATCCCAAAATTAATGTTTGTAGTAGTAACAGAAATAGTATTAAGTTAGTAAAAATTGAGAGTATAATATCTTTAGGGATAGTCATTATTTCTCAGAACTAGTTCTCTAAGATAGAGATTTTGTTTCTACAATGTAGTTTCCACGGAAAGAGTACATACAGAGTAGTACATCTTGCAGATTTTTAAATTCTGCCTTTTTGCAGGAAAAGTCCTCTTTTTTGCATTAAGCCATACTGTCTCAATATAGTTTTTAATATCTGCATTTTTCTTTTTAATACTGAAATGATATCTTAAAGTGACGAAATATATTTTTAAAGCACGTATCAGTTGCTTTTCATTTGTATGGAAATATATACATTCATTTCAAAAAAGCATGATTATAAAAGGGGATATATAACAGTACAAAAGGGGATATATAACAGTACAAAACACATTATTAATGTGTTTTGAGTATGGTTTTGAATAGTGTACAGTTCACTCTAATTTAGTCTGAATTGCAGTATGCAATAATCATAAAAGATTTTTTTCAAACTAAAAATCTCTTTTAGAAGTTACTTTTTGATGCATAACAAAACAATGTTATCTCATGTAGTAAGCAAATAAGTATGCAGGGAAATAAAGGTATAGATTACCTTATAGTACAAATTTTTTGTCTTTCAGAAACCAGCTCTTAATATAGGCAAGTTGTACCATGATTATAAAATTGAAGGTGGTTGTAGAAATTACAAACTTTGTGATTTTTTACTTCATTAGTGATAGACTTTTTAATTTATTAAAAAACACCCCCAAAATGCTATTGAGCTATTGGAATAACAGATCCTAGTTTTCAAATTGTAATAAGTGATCTACAAAAAGCAAGAGGAGTGTTGTATATACCAAATAAACATTTTAAAAATAAAAAATAAACACAAGAGAAGCCGGGGCATGGTGGCACGTGGCCTGTAATCCCAGCAGCTTGGGAGGTTGAGGCAGGAGGATTGTGACTTCAAAGCCACCCTCAGCAACTTAGACCCTGTCTCTAAACACAATATAAAAATAGGATGGAGATCTGGCTCTATTTAAGTATCCCTGGTTTCAATCCCCAGGACCAAAACCAAAAAAAAAACTGAAGATTCTTAGATTTTGGGGTGAGGGTAGAGGCCATTTTTAGTATTATGGTTATTTCCTTTATGCCTTTAAAGTGAATTAGGGAGCTCAGTAATCATCGTGACAGGGTCAAGAATTTTATCAAAATGAACATGTTTTAATTTTTGCAAATTCCATATGAAAGGCATTGAATTTAGCTAATTTTGACCCAAAGTAGATAGAACCATCCCTCCATTTTTATAAATTTGAAATGTAATGATAAAATGTTTTAAATAGAATTTGGTAGTCCACAATTAAAGCCTTTCCACTGATTTTACCTATTATAAGGCTGAGGTATAACTCAGTGGTAGAGCACTTCCCTTGCACAAAGCCCTTGACATCTCCAGCACAGCAAAGAAAAAACTTGCACAGGGCAGATCTCATTGTGATGTACTTTTCTATTATTGATTTGATTCTGTTTTGCAGTCACTAGCCTATAATTTTGAAATTTTCCTTTGCTTTGGCAGTGCTGGAGATAACCCAGGGCCTTCCATGTGCTAGACACAAGTGTTCATTACTAAGCTACATACCCAGCCCCTTCATAGATTTAGAAGTGATTCTAATTTTTGCAGGGGATTGGAATCCGTGGATGCTATAAGACTGAGCTACATCCCTTACTCACAAACTTTGTTGAGTCTGGCTAAAAGTTGCCGAAACTTGTGATCCTCCTGCCTTTGCCTCCTGAGTCACTGGGATTATAGGTGTGAAGCCAGGGCACCCCATTTAGAAGTCATTCTCAAATGATCAGAAAAAAATAGTTTTCTTGGTTTTTAGAGTTTTAGATAAAAAAGTTCATTTGTATAATAAATGTTATTTTGTGGTTAAGCAAGGCCCCTGGGTTTCAACCCCAGCAATGAAGGAAAGGAAAAGAAAGGGAAATCTTTCCTTTTTTTTTTTTTTTTGAAGTAGAATTTAGCTTTGTAAAAATGAATGACATAGGTAATTGTTGTGCTATATCAATAAGTATTTGAAATCTTATGGCATTAATTAAAAGTAAGCCACTGAGTTTTCAAGTAAAAAGAGACAGGTTTATAAAGTTTAGTTCTATTAATAATATTAATAAAGATCCGTTTATTTAGCAAACTAATCTTATTAAATCAGTACATTGCAGAAGATGGACTTTTTGACTAAAAAATACCACATTTCTTTTTTTTTTCTTTTAGTTGTTAGACCTTTATTTTATTTATTTGTATGTGGTGCTGAGAATCGAACCCAGTACTTCACCCATATGAGGCAAGCACTCTTCCACTGAGCCATAACTCCAGCCCCTCTTTGTTTTTTATCAAAGTATGATTTTATCCAAGATTTTGAAATAATTCCCAGGAAGCGTATTGATTTTCTTTACACTAAAAAGTAAGGTTAATTCAACTGGAAGACCATCACTCTAAATAAAACGAGAAATTTCACCCATTTAACGATTATTTCTGTGTTAAAATGCCCTAAAATCAATATTCTGAGTCCTAACAAAATAGTTTTGAATTCATAATGCTGCTAATGTCTGTCTGTCTATACATTTTAGATGTATATAAATTAGGGGAACGAAATGTATAGACATTCATTAAATAGAAAGAAGAGTACTTGAAATTTTAAGAATGTTAAAAAACTGCTAAAGAAGAAAACCTAAATGTCTATGGAAGTGGTCAATACTGACAGGTGGTTAATAGCTTTTTCATCTTCTGGATCCCTATGAATACTTCCAGCATAATGTTAGAATGAATATTAAAAGAAAAAACAGGATTTGTCAAAACACACTAAAAAACTTGGAGCTATCAAAGTAAAGCTAATTAATCATGAAGATTTGATTGAATCTGTAAGGCAGTCAAAGTCCATACCAAAAAAATTAAAATATGATCTTTACTCTGGATTCTGTAACTTACGTCCTGTCCTAAGTCACAGGATGACTATTTAGAAAATCTTTTGATACCTATAAGATCAAATGAAATTCAGCATGTTAGATTAGTCACCTGATATGTAAACTAAGATGTAAATTCTTAGTTTTTATTGTTTCCTTGTTTTATTCCCTTGTCCAGTTCTAGACTCAATTTACATATAACAGTTCTGTTTTTCTTAGGTACACTTTTGTCCTTCTGGATTATCCTTTACATCTTTCATGGCATTTAAAAATTTAGGATTTTATCGAAATTAGCATGTTTCACTGAATAATTTTGATAGTTAATTTTAGTACTTTTGTTTCCCTGAATAGTCATTTTAAGAATTTTTGGATTCTTAATTTGATAATCCGTGTTATAAACTTCTATATATAATACCTCAAATTTAGCAGTGGTATCTTTCATATTATATAGATTTTTTTTCATCTCAAATTTAGTTGCATTTTTCATTTTCATAGTCATGTAGATGTTTCATATTCTTGCCTTAGCATGTTTTTAAATAGTTCTGGACCAAAAGAAGTCAGTATTGTGAGTGTATTTTAAATAACCAACATCTCTCTCCTTTATAATCCTTGATGTGACAAATGACAAAACAAGTATGAAATTGAGTAGACACCTTCCATTCTTTGCTGCTTTTATTAAATGCATGTGCTTTTTTTTTTTAAAGTATTTTGCTTTGTATGATTTGAGTTAAAATGCTCTTAAAATAATATGAACCCATTTAGGATGCAGATGTTAAATGTCATTAGAAACGAAAATAAGAGGGCTGGGGCCCCAGCATGACTCAGTGACAGTACTTACCTTAAAGGTCCTGGGTTCAAACCTCAGGAAAACAAACAGAAGCTTAACAAAAAGGAAAAGTGTTGTTATATTCCCTGAAGTCAATTTTTTATGGATTGGTGTCTTGGAAGGACACTCACATTACAAGTGGCTAACTTTTACTTTTGGTAGAAAGAAGCCACTATTGTTTAATATCACAATATAAACAATTTTCATGAAGTTAATGGTTTAGTATTCAAAATGTGGCATCCAACTCATTTTTTCTTTTCTCCACCCATTATTAAAATGATTTATATACAGAATGATTCTGAATCCAGTCATTACTCTAAGGCACTTTAAACAGTTTAGTTTCTATTAGCTAATAATGCCTTTTTAAATGAGAACTCCATCACATTTAATTTCTGTCTTCTATACAAGCAGAAAATTGTAATCAACTAACACCTCTATAAAAAGTAGTGGAGTTTTACATGTGATAGACCCTTTAACAGATATTCAGACCACAGCAATTCATTGCCATCTCCACCATTATGGCCAAAATTTTTCATTTCTGGTTTTTGCTTAAAAGCCTGATTCTCATCATTGGACACAAATATAATTGTTCTCATGCTGGGTTCATTTCATGTCTTCCAAATATGCAAATCTAAATAGTTTGTCCAGCAGATGTTCATTCAGTAAATGTAGTGCTAACAAAGTAAGCAAAGATTGGTATGCAGCAATTCTTTGTATGAACTTCACATTTTGTCAAATAGAATATTAAAATTGACATGTCTTAAAGAATCAAGATTTACAGTTTGGTGCCATAGCTGTGAATCATACTGAGACCCCAAAAAATTTCCATTGTTAACAGTTTTGTTTTTGTACCATCAGTGCAAGTGTCGAAAATTGGCATGATTGGTTTTTGTGGATACCTGAAAAGGATCTTAGTGACCCTTAATGTGTCCACAGACCATCAATGAAAACCACTGCTGTATAGTAGTAAAAGAGCATGTAATTTATAAGAAAAATGAAATCAAAATGTCAAGAAAAGGTATCTTAACCCGTGGAAAATAAAAAGCATTTCATAAGRTATTCTGAAACTAATTTAAATTATAAATGAATGCACTGAGTATTTTCAACATTGATGAATAGAGGTTTCTAACACCCCCACTCCCTACCCCCCATTCACAAGGTTGCTAAGTGATGTGTGCATTGGGCACTGTAAGGTAGGTAAATATCGGGGAACCAGAGATGGACTGGAACCTTATAAAAGATTCTGAGACAGGAGGATGATTTGCCCTGGCATCTTACACCCTGACTTCACAGCTGGGGGAGGGGGAATTTCTCCAAGGAAGGGACAAGTAGAGCCCCACCAAACTTGGAGACACTGGCAAATACTAGCTATTGTAACACAACTGGCTCATGCCTGCTTATGTGAGGGACATGCAATCTGTAAAGTAGCTTTGCTTTGAAACAGGATTTCACCTCACCTTCCAGTGTATCCATACTAGCCAGGAACCACTGAAGGAATTACAAGAGAAAGAATTTCACAGTGTGCAAAAAAGCAAAGTCATAAGGGCAGCTCCCTTACATTAAAAGAGCATTTAACTACTGAAACCCTATATGTCAGGAGGGAGTGAAATAATCCAAATTTTGATAAGGTGCAAAACAACTCAGACCCTGTCTCTAAAATACAAAATGGGGCTGGGGATGTTTCTCAGTGGTCGAGTGCCCCCCCCCCCAAAAAAAAATTAAAAGTAGTGGTCATCCACAATTTCCAAACCAGCAAAAACTATCCTTAAGAAACAAATGAAGAAAACTGGACCAAACTTTCCCTTTTCAAAGGGAATCCTAGGTCCAGAATTGAAAGGTAAATACCATTATGATAGCTTATGAAAGTATAAAGCCCATTAAAAGAGCCAATATACAGATCATTCAAAATAACCAGAAGAAAATCATCAAAATAAATAAACCTTAACTTTCAATAATCTTGAATGTAAATAATTTCTCCAATTAAAGAACAGCTTTTTAAATAGATCAAACAATATGCTTCCTACATGAGGACTGAAAAGGGGAAATGATACTAGCAAATGGACACCTAAACTGAACATGCTTTCACCTGATAAGGTTAATATTTATTTGTTATTGGCGGACACAACATCCTTGTTTGTATGTGGTGCTGGAGGATGGAACCCGGGCCGCACGCATAACAGGCAAGCGCGCTACCTGCTTGAGCCACATCCCCAGCCCCTGATAAGGTTAAGATAATTATAAATTTGTTTCCTTCAGAGGTTAATATCAATTCATTTCACAGCACCCAGTTTATTATAAACTTTTTCTAAAACAGACTTAAAGGATGAGATGGGCTCAAATACAATGGTATTTCACTCATCAATAGTCCTGACAAAAAACAATGCAACATCAAAGTTAAACACTGCTATTCAGCAAATGGACCTACAAGGTACTTGTACATTAAATAGCTCACGGAACTTCCCCTAGGATAGAATATATAATAGGTCATAAAAAGTTTTAAACCTAGTGCCTTACACTTGCTAAAAAAGGCGCTTTAGTATTTGAAAATATGAAATATTTATCTGATTTGCTTATAATGGAGTAAAACTAGAAATCTTCAACAAAAGAAACTTGGACATTATACAAGTATATGGAGACTACACATACACTTTGGAACCATTTAAAAATGCCTTAAAATTGACCAGGCAATTTCAGCAGCTCCAGAGGCTGAAACAAGCAGCTCGGGAAGACCCTGTCTCTAAATAAAAAACAAAATAGGGTGGGGATGTGTGGCTCAGTGGGCTAGTGAGTTCAATCCCTAGTACTAGAAGAAAATTCCTTAAAACCAAAGAAAATGCAAATAAACAACCAAAACCTGTAGGATACTGGGAAATAGGAGATATATAGCAATGAGTACCTATATCAAAATAGATTTCAAATAAACAACCTAAGCATGCGTCCCAAATACTTAGAACCAAACCCCAAAGGAAAGACCAAATCAGGAAGTAATAGGCTAAAAAAACTTATCAATGAAACTGTCTTAGAAAAGATGAACAAAACTGATACACCTATTAAGCTGCAGTTAAAATAGTACAACACTGGGACAGGCATGAAACAGAACTGAATATAAATTGTGATATTACAATCAGACATGAATAACAATCTAATCATGAGGAAACATCAGGTAAATCCCAATTAGGGAATGCTATATAATTAGCCTTCACAACACAAACACAAGGAAACTGACAATAGATGTTTTAGTTGTAATCATTTCACAATGTGTATAAAATCACACAAAACTGGAGTAATATAAATTTTATTTGTAAATTATAACAATTCTGGAGTGACAAGAGAAACATCTCAATGTTATAAGAAATCCATCCATGTTAAAGAGGCTAAAGACATGGCAACTTTTATGCAATGTGTACTAAACTGTAATAGAAGAAAAACTGCCTAAAACAGACATTATTGGAATGATTGACATCAGAACATGATAATCAGTGTCAAACATCTTTATTTTAAAAAAAATGATCTTTGTTCTTTAGTAATTCACACAGAAATTTTAGAATATTTCATAAATATAAATAGTAGGCTTGCAGTAAAGAGAATGTTAAATGGGTCAAAATGTTAAGAATTGATGAATCTGGGCTGGGGCTGGGGCTCTAATACTAAAGCGCCTTKTTTAGCAAGTGTAAGGCAYTAGGTTCTATCCTAAAACTAAAGGTATTTTTTAAAAATTGATGTATCCAGCCAGACACAATGGAGCATGCCTGTAATCCCAGCAGCTCAGAAAGCTGAGGGAGGAGGATCATGGCAGCCTCATCAACAGGGAGGTACTAAGCAACTCAGTGAGACCCTGTATCTAAATTTAAAAAAAAAAGGGGGGGGGATCTGAATAAGAGACAATTCAGGAATTCTATATAACAACTTTCTTGTAAGATTAAAATTATTTCTAAATATAAAGTTAAAAAAAATGCTTTGCAGGAACTTCTGCCAAGTCAATAGCAAAAGCAAGTCTGGGTTCTTGGGAACTCAAAGAGAATTGCTCCAGAATTATAATGCATGGCGGCTGGGGTTACAGCTCAGCCTTGCACATGAGAGCCAAAGGGTTCGATCCTCAGCACCACATAAAAATAAATAAATAAATAAATGTATTATGTCTACCTTTAAAAACCTTAAAAAAAAAAAAAAAGAATTATAACAAGGACTGCCAGAAATTAAGGGGGAAAGCTGATTTTTCTCTGAACAGAGATTTTTCTTATAGCTTCTATATAGACAAACTTGAGTTATTCATTAATGTAGAAGTCAGCTCTCTGCCAGACCCACRCAGCATCAACAAAGGACCTCAAGTAGGGGTGATGGGAGATGGAGAAAAACAAAGAAAAACAGACATTCTGAAGTAAAGCTGGGACTAGGTGGGACACTGGGACACTCTGATGGGGAAACAGTGACCCAGAACTAGCTTTGCAAGTTTATTATAAAGGGTCTCATAATTAGGAAGTTTAACTAGAGGGGCAATGTAAATTGTTCAAGTCTTGTGAGTTACCAAGAGTCTTCTCTGCACACTAAAAAGTTACAGAAGTAGAACTATTTCTGCAGTTACCCTACTGTTGCAATGCTTGGAACATCCTGCTGCATCCTTGCCTTTTTGGCAAGGAATGTTTCCCAGACTTGACTTCTGCCAACACCACAGGATCAGCCGACATCAACCAGGGGCTCATCTGCTCTCCACATCTCCACCTTTCTTATTTTTTAACTGCAATCGATGCATGTCTACTTGGAGGTATTGGAACTGGGATTTGGCGAGACTGCATTTGACTGTGAGAAAATAATACAAAATTAAAAATAAAGAAACAAGCCCTATAGGATACCATGTAGTATGTTTTAGCATATTCCAAGGATTGAAACCATTTAAGTCATTAACAGTTTTTGGGTTTTTTTGCCAAATTGGCAGGAGATAACATAGGAATCTTGCTTTTTTGCCTGACTTGGATCTAATGGTGTAGATGTAAAAGATATAAACTAACACTTATGATTTCAAACTGCTAATAGATGTATCTTTATTTTTTCTAACCCCACTGGGAATTAACATGTAAAACAGGTATTACATAAATAAATTGATAAGCAACATGGCACTGTAATTGTCCTCTGACCTTAAAACTATGTGATCACCTAAGTTTATTACACTAGGTTTTAAAGCATTTAACTTAGCTTTAAGTTTATTATCAGTATTCTCCTGATCTTACAGGGTTCTTAATGTATTTTGTGTCAAGCATTGACAAAATGAGTTGTTTGGATATCCTGTACCAGAATGTCAGAGGCAGTGATTGTAGAAACAATCGCAATATAATTAAAGTAACAATACCAAAGACTATAAGTCCCATAGCACAGATGATTGAATCAGCTGATTATGAAGTTCTTGATAACTTATAGCTGTTATCTTTTTTGGGGGGGCAGTGGTGGTGGTAAACCAGGAATTGAACTCAGGGGCACTTGACCACTGAGCCAATCCCCAGCCAAATTTTGCATTTTATTTAGAGACAGGGTCTCTCTGAGTTGCTAAGTGCTTCATTTTTGCTAAGGCTGGCTTTGAACTTGTGATCTTCCTGCCTCAGCCTCCCAAACCACTGGGCTTAAAGGTGTGCACCACCATGCCCACCTAGCCCTATTATCTTAATACCAGTCATCTGTGATGCTGGTGGAAAGTATAAGAAAGGAAGGCTGGTATAAAACCAAAATACCTTAATTTTTGTTATATTAGTCACACAATTAGTAAGATTACAGTTAGTACTCGTTACAAAATGGTGATCACTGCCCATTTTTTTGATATTAGTATTTCCTGTTAATAATGCATAAAGAGACTGAACACACAACCACAAACCATAAAATGAGTTGGTGGTACAATCACTGGTTAGATGTGAAAGCAACTGACTAGTAAAATTAACAAAATCTAAAATAGCAGCTAGATGCCATGAATTCTTCTGAATGCCTCCTGATCTTGAGGTCAGATTTTACTAACAAACCCTCCAGGGGTCATGAGTTCATTATGAGAATGTTCCAAATCAAACTTATGTGGACATATGACTTGGACTGCAAATATGTCATACAGGAACTAAATTAGCACAATCTCGCCACTGAGGAAAAGTTCCCAGTTCTGAAGTGCTGGAATTTGGGCAATAAGGGAACAGAGGGTGTTGACAGAGTTCTTATTTAGGAAAATCTATTTTGATAATAGTCTGTATATATTTTTTCAAATCCTAAAGAAGGACTGGAAACTGGCAACACAAGTACCACCATAGGATTCCTGGGACATAGGGGCCTCAGCAGTATACCCAGAATAAGAAAATTAAAGTAATAAGAGGAAACAATATGAAAATCAGATTGACAACCCCCCATGGCAGACTAATTTGTAAACACTGGAACAGATCCTCCAGCCCAGGTAGTGGGATTAATTAATGGAGGATCCGGAAAATATGTCCAATAAGTTTCTCATTACGATACATACCTGACAACTTAGAACAGCCAGCATTGCCATAAACATGGTAGCTGGTGTCTCAGGGACCCCCTGCTTCTCAATCACTCCCTGAGCTTTGCTTGCCAAGTTCTGGATCTGACTCCACGTCGGGGGATTTACACGTAGTGTGCTTTTTGTTGCTCCTTCCTTTTTCTTGCCTCCTTTGCTTGGCTGAATGTTTAAAGGTAGCTCTTGTGTCGGTACCATTATTGATGGTGTGATCTTCAGTCTTTTGGATTCGGGTTCGTGTTCAGGTTTTGGATCCATGTTGATGACTCCTCTCTCAGATACCCAATCGGCTTCTCAGCACCTTCTGGAAAGATATGGTCATAACCTCTTCCCCTCATTACTGGATCCGGCCCATTCTATTTTCCTGATGGTAAATCTTTCTACCATACTATTCCTGCTGAACAAGCTGAACCAGAGACTTGGTATCTCTCAGCTGCAGTGCAGCCCTTCTCATTACAATTTAAGAAATTCAAAATAAAAAGAGCATGATGCARTTGATTCTGTGGAGATGGATAATACCTATCTCCCCCTTTTTGTTTCTGAAGTTGAATTTCTAACATTCTATTGGCACATTCTACTATTCCTGGTCCTTGAGTATTCTATGGGATTCGTGTCTTATGAATAATATAAGAAACACAAAAGCACTGAAAAGAACTGGCATAAGCTGGACCATTATCAGTTTCAAATTCCTGAGGTTTGCCCAAAATCAGCCAATAACTAATGACCATTACCACTTTCTCCTACTTGTGCTGTAGCAAAAATAATAGGTGTCAACAGACACATGTACCTACTGTTGTCTTCCACACTCTTGTACATGCAGAACTTCCATCTGTCAAATGTGATTTGGCTTAAGGCCCCCAGCATTTATCCCAGTTAATAAGACTGGGGGGTGAATAATACATTGAGGGTATTGTTTAGCTGTGGTCTGAGCCTGCTCCCTAGTGAGGTGAAATTCTTTGTGCAAACTGGAAGCATTTTGGTGATGTAGGGCATGTGATACCTGAGAGAGGAATAAGGTGATACACATTCTACTGATGCAACAAGATGATCTATAACATTGTTTCCTTCTACAACAGGTCCTGCAAGACCGAATGAGCTCAACTATGTCCAATAAAAAAAAAAGCTAACAACATTGTTGCATAGAGTTTTGTAAAGATTTAAAAAGCTAAAATAATACCTCAGAGATAATATGCCCAATAGTGGCTGTTTCAATTACCTGAGTTGCCCCCACTGCATAAGGACTGTCACTGTAAATATTTATAGATTCTGATGAAAAGGGTTGTCAGGCAAAAATTTTAATCTGGCCTCCCTGAGCTGGACCCATCAGTAAAAACCATTAGAGCCTGAGAAATTGGTTTAGTGCAAACAATTTTAGGGAAAACAAAAGTTGTTATAGAAATTTTATCAAATAAAATTTGATAATAGCTATCAATTTGGCCAGAAAAATTAGCAAGTGTAATCTGTCAACTTGCAGAATTTTGTCAAAGCCAATCTTGTTGTGCAGTAGTAAAACGAACTACAATAAGGGAATGCTCTAGCCCTAAGAGTTGCTGTACTCATTGAATTTTTGAAATTAACTGAGCAACTAATCATGAAAATGGCATTAAGGATTTAGGAGAATGTAGCAGTTGAAGCCATTTTATAATTTTTGTTTCCTGCCAAAGAATTCCTGTAGGGATATGAGTAGCAGGAAAAGTCAGTACTTGAATAGATCTATTTAGATTGACCATAGTAAGCTGGGCTGCTTGAAGAGCAGAGTCTTCGTGAGTCAGTGCAGTTTTAGCTTCTGAAGTCGGTTGTTGAGGAGACAGAGGTGGATCTCCTTTGAGGATAGTGAACTAACTAACTTTGATGTAGTTAACTTTAAAGAGGACGTAATCAATGTCACTCAGAAGTTTTTGGAAGTCATTAAGAGTTCATAAGGTGTCTATTCTAATTTGAAGTTACCAAGAGGCTTCTTTGAGGGCTGGGGAGTTGATAGAGTGCCTGCCTCACATGCACAAGGCCTTGGGTTCAATCCCCAACACAACCAAAAAAAAAAAAAAAAAAAAAAAAAAAAGGTTTCTTTGTGCACTAAAACGTTTCAAAACTAGAAACATTTTTGTAGCTATCCTACTGTTTAATTTTAACTTCAAAACCTCAGTATCAAGTGTGAGGAATACCCTGCTGCACCCAGGAAACCCACTGTCCTGGAATGTCCCTGTTAGCATCAGAGCTGAGGGTCAAGATTATTAATATCTTTGCCTTTTTGGCAAAGAATGTTTCATGGGATTGGCTTTTGATGATCCCGCAGGATCAGTGGAGACCCGGGGCTCATCCACTCTCCACAGCTTTCAATTTAGAAATAGACAGAAATTTGTGCATTTATTTTAGAACCTTCCTGAAAAAAACCACAATTGTCTTATCTGCAAACAGTGCATCAACCCTACCCTGGAGAGGTTTCTTTTAAATATTCCATAATAAACCATTATGATAGAATTCTTCAAGCAAGCACCAGTTGCCAACTATTTCCTCTCAAATAGAGACAAAATGGAAGGCAAGCTGAGAGGTAAGGCACTGGCAGCTTTTGAGACAAGGGTTACTTCAGCCCCTAAGAAAAAAATCCACTACTTCTTATCATCTGCATCTGACTTAACCCTGTCATGACAATTAGGCAAAAGAACAGAACCTGCTGGGCCTGGTGGCACACACCTGTAATCCCAGCAGCTGGGAAGACTGWGGCAGGAAGATTTCAAGTTCAACACCAGCCCCAATAACTCAACAAGGTCCTAGGCAACTTAGTGAGACCCTGTCTCAAAATAAAAAAGGGCTGGACATGTGGCTCGGTAGTCACGCATCTCCAGATTCAATCCCTGGTACTCCCCAGAACCCCAGAACTCAGGCCTGACCAACCTCCCTGAGAACGCAGTCCGTTTTCCCATTTGACTTAACCTGTGTTCAGCCCAGCACCCCTGGCAGACTCGGTGCACGGAGGACCACGACCTTTGTTCTCTGCCTTCAACTTGGATTTCTTCAGTACACTTCAAGGCAACTGGAATCTGCGTTCCCGGGCCTAGGTCACTCCCGTCTGGCTCGGACTAAACTACCGTGTGGTTTCCCCGACACAAAAGTCGTGTCCTTCCCTCGAATGCCTTTTCTAAAGTACCTGCTGTGAGAAACTTCTGCCGTCAGCCGGGGAGGTCTAAGAGATTTTCCTGAATCAAGGTGATGATTTCTTCCCTGTGCTTTTTCCGTGGAGTGGACACCTGAGATTTTAAAAAGGTTTCTGTTGTTTTTGTTTCGTTTTAAGGTGCTGGGGGAAAAAACCAAGGCCTCGCACGTGCAGGGAGACTTCTCAACGAACCACACCCGCGCCCTCGCGGCAGTTTGGAGCCCTCCCTGGACGCGGCAGTACCCTTCCAGAGGTGAAGCTGCGGACTTACCAGCAGTAAACCTCGCGTCTCTAAGGCCTGCGGCTCTACGGGTCTCACTTGGGTTCTCCACAGGCTGGACRGCAGCGCACTCCACAGCCAGTCGCGACACCCTGCGCTTCCGGCGCTCGGCTCTGGTACCGGAAGCTGCGGCGAGCGCGAAGGAGAGCCTGTGGCGCACGCGTGAGTGAAATGCCTGTCGCGCATGCGCGCCAGCCTGTCTCTGCGGAGCGACGTCTCCTGACGTCACCACCACTCTCGCTTCAACAGCCACCGGCGGGAGTTTTTCAAAATGGGAGTGCAGAGGCACCGCCCAAGCCTSGGATGGTGTCGAGGAATTCCTTCGGTGGCTGTAGCGTCGTCGCCCGGAGCGGCGGCCTAGAAGGCASAGCCTGATGGGCACCACGACCGGCTGGCTGCCTGGAGCTCCACCTCGAAGGGACTGTGAAAAGGGACCTGACCCGGGGAGCGCCGGCCCGGGCCTGCGAATATGGCGACTTGCATCGGCGAGAAGATCGAGGTGAAGGGAGTGGCGGGCCAAGGCTGCGGATCGGAAGGGGGCGAGCGAAGCCCACGGCTGGGGCCGGGCGTGGCGCCGGGCCGGCGGTGGGGCGGGACCCAGCCTCTGGACSGCGCTCGGGCGGGGGCGGCACCGGTGGGCGGCGTCCCCGGCCCCGCCGCGTCCGTGGTAACCCCGCTGGAGCCGCCGCGCCGACCGGAGCCAGGCCGCCTCCCCCTTCTCCCGGGGGATGGCGGTTGGCCGCGGCGGGAGCTGTGGCGGGGCTCCCAGGTGTTGGCTGGAGGCGGGAGGAGGTGCAGCCTGTGCTGCGGTGGAGTCGCTCGGGTGCGCAGTCTGGCCGGCCTGGAAGCTGGGGAGTCCTGCAGGGCATCGCCATGCCTTCCACCGCAGACGCCTGCTATATCGAGGTGGAATACCTTCCTGGATTTTGCCAAATACTCCTCTCAACCCTTTGCATCCCATTTTTCCAGGCCCTTGGTATCATTCTTCCTTTCTACTCCTGAGAGTCATCACACATAATATCTAATTTTACTTTTTAAGGATTTTAAAGTCGGAAATCTGCTCGGTAAGGGATCATTTGCTGGTGTCTACAGAGCTGAATCCATTCACACTGGTTTGGAAGTTGCAATCAAAATGGTAAGACTATATTAATCAACTTTTTTTTTCTGTACTTTGCAAATAACTAAAGGTGTTCTACTAGAGATGTCACAGTTCCGTACTGACCAACCTTTTCTTTGATTATGGTGTAAAGAATACATCATATAGGCAAAAGACAATACGGATAAATTCAGCAGTTCAGCTTAAGGACGTTTTGGAGGAGCATTCATTTGCTTAAATGTTTTATCTTCATTAATGTTCGGTAGACAGGTGTGTTTCAGTTATGCATACTTGGAGTCAAATGTAGAAATCAAATAATTTTTTTTATAATAATACATTTGTGTGTAGTTCTGTATTACAGTATAAGTATTAATCCAAAATACTATTCTCTATTGATATAAGTTAATCTAATAGGAATAACATAAACATTAGCAAATTGAGAATTATTTATCTAAACTAGTTGGAAAAGGGAAAGGAAATTTGGAATAAAGTTTGACTAAAGTTGGATTTTTCTTATGGATAGAGCAGTTGTGCTATTAAAGTATTTAAATTGAMAGAGAGTACTAGAGTGCATTGGACAGATTTACTTAGTGTCCACTCTACTAGATAAACAGAGGAAAAATAGACCCAACAGAGTAAGTTGATCTCAAAGACATATATTAAAAATCTTAAAACTATTTTAAATTAAAATATACTTTCTTTTCAAAGGTGACTTAGTTCCTTCCTCTGCCACTAGTAATTGAACCCAGGGGTGCTTTACCACTGACCTACATCCCAGCCCATTTTTTTTTTTTTTTTCTTTTTGAGACAGGGTCTCACTGAGTTCTTGGGACTTGCCTCAATTTGCGAGCTTCCTGCCTCAGTATACTGAGTAATTGGAGTATGCCACTGCACCCTGATCAAAGATGGCTTTTAACAATTTATATTTGAAACTTAACCATCAACATTTAAAACTTTTCTGTTTTTTCAGATAGATAAAAAAGCCATGTACAAAGCTGGAATGGTACAGCGAGTCCAAAATGAGGTGAAAATACATTGTCAATTGAAACATCCCTCTATCTTGGAGGTAAGATACAATTTTATAGAAGCAGCCTAGGATACTGAATTTTTTAAATTCTAATTTATTATACTTTTTTACATTTCAGCTATATAACTATTTTGAAGATAACAATTATGTGTACCTGGTATTAGAAATGTGTCACAATGGTGAAATGAACAGATACCTAAAGAATAGAATGAAACCTTTCTCAGAAAATGAAGGTAAGCTTCTTTTTTACTTTCCAAAAATGTTTTGAAAAAATGTGCTATTTTATAATATTTAATAAAACTGTTTCAGTTGTTACCTTAGGCTAGAAAAGGATCCCGCACATACAATGCTATACTTCTTAAAAACAATTTAAGAATTGCAGAAAGTAAGAAATTTGTCATTTATCCCCCAAAATACATTGTAAATTAAATTATTGGTAGCAATTTACTGTGTAAACTTGCAAATATAGAATGCTTTTTACAATGCCACTGATGACGGCCATTGAAACCATTTGTTTTAGAAAATGTGGATCTCAGACTGGGGACATACCTCCATTGGTAAAGTGCTTGCCTCGCATGCACAAGCCCCTGGTTCAATCCCCAGCACCACACACACACGCACACGCAGGCACACACAAAAAAAGAAAGAAAATGTGGATCTCCTGAGTATAGTGAATCCCTTCGAACTTATCTCAGCTTCCAAAAACTGTAGAATTATCCACTCTTTAATCCCCTAATTCGATAGAATATTTTGAAGCATATTAATAGACATCCTATTATCTACAAATATTTTAGTATTTATCTTTACAGAATCTGGATGTTAAAAAATGATAATCACAAAGTCTTTATTACACTGAATAATTCCTTACTATGAATACAAAGTTAGTTTCAAACTTCTCTAGTTCCTCAGAAATAATTTTTTACAATTTTTTTTAAATATATTTATTTTTTAGTTTTTTTTAGGTGGACACAATATGTGGTGCTGAGGATTAAACCCAGTGCCTCACGCATGCCAGACGAGCACGCTACCACTTGAGCCACATCCCCAACCAATTTTTTACGATTTAAATCAGAATCAAATAAGTTCCATATATTGTCAGACTAAGCTTTTTCTTTTTCTTTTTTTTTTTTTTTTCCCCCTGTTAACTGGGATTGTAGATGAGCTAAGAAAGATGGGTTCTGATAAGCTTTTTGAGCATTTCAATCTGTTGAATACAGAATCTGGATGTTAAAAAATGATAATCATAGAGTCTTTATTACTCTGAATAATTCCTTACTATGAATACAAAGTCAGTTTCAAACTTCCCTAGTTCCTCAGAAATAATTTTTTACAATTTAAATCAGAATCAAATAAGTTCCATATATTGTCAGACTAAGCTTTTTTTCTTTTTCTTTTTTTTTTTCCCCCTGTTAACTGGGATTGTAGATGGGCTAAGAAAGATGGGTTCTGATAAGCTTTTTGAGCATTTCAATCTGTTGAAACACAATTTGGTCATATATATTTACTCAGAAATGTTTATGTTCTTTGACTCAAATTCCATTTTTGGAAGTTTATTCTGAAGAAGTAGTACAAATTGAAAAATCCATACACATATTGATGATGATTACTGTATTTTTTTCATATGAGACAGAACTAGCAAAAGCAATGAAGGGAAAAATATCAGTTTGAATTAAAATTAAAAACTTCTGTGTACTTTTAACAAACTTAAAGACAAAGATACGTTTGATCCCTAATAGCACACACACAAAAGCCATATTTATGCGTTATATATGTGTATGTGTGATATATATATATATACATACATACAAACACACACACACACACACACATATGAATGACTGGAAATTCATATTTAAAAAGACACACCTAAAAAGATAATCAAATCAGATAGTAGGGAATATGAGCAGATTATCTCATGGCAGAAAAAGTACCAGTAACCAAAAAATATATGAAAAGATGCTCAAACACAGTAGTCATCATGAAGGTGCTAACCCAAATAACAAGTATCATTTTTCACTCATTGATTTGGGACAGCCTACTCGTTAAAGGATCTCCATGAAAATATAGCCTTTTTTTTTAAATTTTTAATCGTTGATGGACCTTAGTTTATTTATTAATTTATATGTGGTGCTGAGAATCATACCCAGTRCCTCATACATGATAGGCAAGGGTTCTACCACTAAGCCACAATCTCAATTCCAAATATAGCCTTTTAATAATAAAATAGTATGTTTTCTTATTCTTCAGTCCAGTGATTCTATACCTTGAATGTACTATAGAGGAATTCCCATAACATTCACAAGAAAACAAKCATGTGTAAGAATGTTTATTGTTGTGTTTTTTTAATCTTGAAATAGCGGTAGTGACCCAAATGTTCAACAGCAATTGAATAAAATATAGATCTATGGTACTGCCATAGAAATGAAATGTAATAAAACTTTAAGAAGCATTTATTACAATATGTCTATAGATTTAAATATACATAAGCAAGCAGAGAAACATAAAAGATTATATACAAACTGTTGATGTGACTACTTTTTGGGAGTGTTTGGGAGATATCAAAGAAAAGTTAACTTTTTTTCTTTTTTACAATTAGTATAGATTTATGGATTGTTCATACAGTTAAAAATAATTTTCTTAATTGTTAGGCAACTCTGGTTATCATTTCCCTAATCAATCCCAATTGTTAATGAAATTTACTGCTCATTATTTGGGAAAAGCAAAGATTAAAATTATTGCCTTGTATATTTAACAGAAATTGGTTAATATTATAATACCACAAAAGTTGCACTTTGGTAAATTCTAGCTGCAAGCTAATAATTTAATATTATACTCTAGCATATCTGCCTCTGTTTCACAGTGTATTTTGTTTAATTTTTTTTTAAAGGAGAGAGAGAGAATTTTAATATTTTTATTTTTTAGTTTTCTGCAGACACAACATCTTTATTTGTATGTGGTGCTGAGGATCAAACCCGGGCCGCACGCATGCCAGGCGAGCGCGCCACCGCTTGAGCCACATCCTCAGCCCTGTTTCACAGTGTATTTTAAATGCTGAATCTTCTCAATTGTAAGTTCTCTTTTTTGCATCCTCACAGCTCGACACTTCATGCACCAGATCATCACAGGAATGTTGTATCTTCATTCTCATGGCATATTACACCGGGACCTCACACTTTCTAACCTCTTACTTACTCGTAATATGAATATCAAGATTGCCGATTTTGGGCTGGCAACTCAATTGACAATGCCACATGAAAAGCACTATACATTATGTGGAACTCCTAATTACATTTCACCAGAAATTGCAACTCGAAGTGCACATGGACTTGAATCTGATGTTTGGTCCTTGGGCTGCATGTTTTATACATTATTAATTGGGAGACCACCTTTTGACACTGACACAGTCAAGAACACATTAAATAAAGTCGTATTGGCAGATTATGAAATGCCAACGTTTTTGTCAAGAGAGGCCAAGGATCTTATTCACCAGCTACTTCGTAGAAATCCAGCAGATCGTTTAAGTCTGTCTTCAATATTGGACCATCCTTTTATGTCCCGAAATTCTTCAACAAAAAGTAAAGATTTAGGAACTGTAGAAGACTCAATTGATAGTGGACATGCCACAATTTCTACTGCAGTTACGGCTTCTTCCAGTACCAGTGTAAGTGGTAGTTTACTTGACAGAAGACGACTCTTGATTGGCCAGCCACTTCCAAATAAAATGACTGTATTTCCAAAGCATAAAAATTCAAGTGACTTTTCTTCAGGAGATGGAAGCAGTTTTTGTACTCAGTGGGGAAATCAAGCACATGAAACCAGTAACAGTGGAAGAGGAAGAGTAATTCAAGATGCAGAAGAAAGGCCACATTCTCGATACCTCCGTAGAGCCCATTCCTCTGATAGATCTGGCACTTCTAATAGTCAATCTCGAGCAAAAACATATACAATGGAACGATGTCACTCAGCAGAAACACTTTCAAAGTCCAAAAGATCAGGAATAGAAGAAAATGAAGACCCATATCCACCCACAAACAGCAATGTCAATATTTTTCATTTCTTTAAAGAAAAGACATCTCATAGTTCTGGATCTTTTGAAAGACCTGATAACAACCAAGCACTGTAAGAATATAAGTATTTTATTTTCTGTAAACATACTAGCACAAATATGAAGATGCATGTAAATAAAGGGGTTACTAGGGCAATGAATAATTAATACTTTTCTTTTAACTGATGCTTCTGAGGCACTTATCAATGATGATTTTCATTTTTTATTACTAAAGTATTGGAATATTAATTTAGAGCTATGATTAAGGTGTCCTTCAAAAGTGAATGTATGTGTTGATGAATATGTTTATTACTCTGTTTAATTCTTGGGAGTTTTTAGTTTCATATATATATGCAAAACACCATGTATTAAACAAATCTGATCCCTGAAGTACTCTAATAATAACTACAAACAAAAAGAAGTTGAGCCTGAATGATGAGTAATTATAGTACTAATACTATTTCTAACATGAAAACTAATTGTTTTAATGATTTTTTTTGCATGTCTCTTAATTTTTTTTATGATTTTTATGCTTGAATTATTAAAGGGCAACAGCCACATAGAAACATCATCACAATGCCCTGGCATTCTGGCATGGGAATTCAGCGTTTTAGAGACAATGTGATTATGCAAATATTGTTTTCTACAGTTATCCTAAAATTTTTTGGAATTCACATTTGTCTTTATTCTACATTAAAAAGTTGGCTAGGTATTGGGGATAAAGTACCATGGTAGAACACATTTAGCATGTGTGAGGCCATAAGTTTGTTCCCTAGTGTCCCCCACAAAAAGTTGCCTAATCATTTTTTTAATTACTTTAACTTTTTATTACTTGGGGATTTTTTTTTTCTTTAGTTCAAATCATCTTTGTCCAGGAAAAAGTCCTTTTCCATTTTCAGACCAGACACCTCAAACTGAAATTGTACAACAGTGGTTTGGAAATCTGCAAATGAATGGTGAGTTTTAAATGGTAGTATTTAATTAAAAACTAATGACTTACACACTTTTTTAGCACTGTAGTTTCCTTGTTTTTGTTTTTTGTTTGTTTTGTTTTGTTGGTGCCAGGGATTAAACCCAGGAGTACTCAATCACTGAGCCATATCCCCAGCCCTGTTTAGTTTTTATTTAGACATAGGGTCTTGATAAGTTGCTTAGGGCCTCAGCCTTCCAAGCCACTGGGATTTCCAGGTGCCAGTGCACCTGGCCATTATAGTTTTCTTTTTGGGCTTTTTAAATAAAATAAAACAATACAATAAAGCTGAATTATTATAGTAAAACTTGATGGTTTTTAATATTTACCGTAAGGTCAGCTATTATTCTTAATACTGAACATATATATTTGTTATATTCTCACAAAAACATATGAGGAAGATACTGTTGTTATTTTTTTATAGCTAAGGAAATTGTACACAGAATTCAGTTGCATAGCCATTAAGTACAGTGCCAGGATCCAACCCAAGTAATCTGTCTTAGAAGCTTTCCTCTTAAGCCCTCTCTTGAAGACTCTTCATAATAAGTACCAAGTCAGTGCCTATAAAACAATTAAAAGATGTTTGACTTTATTTTGAARTAGATGCCGATATGGACACTATAGTCAGCCAGTTGGATTTCACATCTAAATACATGGCTACTAAAACCTAGATATTTTCAAGTAGCTATCATTCGAGTCATTATTTTATTTATAGATGCAAAGTGTAAATATTAACCCAGTAAGTCCCACCATCCCAAATGTGGGACACCTATAAAAACTAAGTTGAGCAACAGACATGCCACTTACTTCTTTTGAGAAAAGTAATATGGTGAATGATTAGAGCATTTGAAAACATGTAAAGGATATATAAGCTTAGATTATGATTTCCAACGTATTTTCATGCACATCTGTCAATTTCATTGAAATATTGGCAGAATAGAAAACTTGGGACTTAATGGTTAAAATATTCTTAATTAATGAACATAACAGATTCACAGAAGGTGGGATGGGGAATAATAATTTTAAAAAAGAGAGAAAATTATGAAACATATGGAGAGAAGGAGATCATTTTTTACTAAGTGTTGTATTACCTCACAGACAAAAGAGTGCATAGTGGCTGTAATTTAAGCAGAGTGTTATTTGTCATCTCAAGAGCCTATGTGTTTTTTTCTTTTTTCAAAAGAAATGTATATGATTTTCAAAATCCCCAAAGGAAATGAATCTTTTCCTATGTACTTGAAAATATCCTTGGAAATAATTCAAGTTTGTTTTTTGTTTTTTTAATGATAAAACTGATAATGTACATCTTGCTCTACTTCTGTTGTATTTACAAGTATTTTTACTTGACAGTATGGCTTTGTCTGAGATGGAGAAATAACCTTTTTTTTTTTCTTTAAAGTAATGTAATGAGGCTGCTATAATTTTAAAGTATTTTTGGTACAAAATATTTTTCTGGCCGGGCATATGCATCTCCAGGGGCTGAGGCAGGAAGATCATGAGTTCAAAGCCAGCCTCAGGGGCTGGGGTTGTGGCTCATTGGTAGGGCGCTTACCCAGTGTATGTGAGGTACTGGATTCAAGTCTCTGGACCACATGTAAGTAAATAAACTAAAGGTCTGTCAACAACTTAAAAAAAAAAAAAAAGCCAGCCTCAGCAATTTAGGCCCTAAGCAATTCACTGAGATCCTGTCTCTAAATAAAAAATCCTGTCTCTAAATAAAAAATCCTGTCTCTAAATAAAAAGGGCTAAGGATGTGACTCACTCGTTAAGCGCGTCTGGTTCAATCCCCTGTACCCCCCCCCAAAAAAAAAAAAAAAAGATTTTTTTTTCTGTCATACTGAGAGTTGGAGAGATGTTTTTCATTTGGTTTGTATTTTGCAGTACTGGGGATTGAACCCAGGGCATTGTACATTGCCAGCAAGCACTTAACGACTTAGCCAAACCTCCACCCTTGAGAGTTGGAGGGGGGTGGTATATATTCCCATGTGAACTCTAGAATAACAATTTAAAACACAAATTGGTAAAATTCTTTAGAACTTCAAAAAATGTGGGTATAACTATATATATAACTATATATATATATACACACATATATATGTAAAATATTAATAATATTGAAACTATTCACATGGTGTTTTTTTCCCTTAGTTGTATACCTTCTAAGCAAAGATAGGATAGGTGTTCCTTAGCTTAAAAAATAAATTTATGTTTTGTTTTTTATTTAGGTAGATTGATATGTGGGAATTCTTCTCAAATATGCTTTTGTTGGAATATAATCTCACATTAGAATTAGCAGTGACCCTGCAGTGACTAGTTTTTGCCTTGATTGAAAAGTAGATTGTTTATTATATCTTTTGTGATCTGGTTTAAAATACCCTTTTAAAGTCACTGACTTTTTATGTCATATATTAGACTAGAATAATTTCTTATTTAAAATAAAATTTTCTTATGCATATTTAAGGTATATAAGAGCATTATACATATATATAGTAAAATGGCTATTATTTTGGAACAAATTAATGTATCTATAACCTCACATATTTACACAGACTGTTCTCCCTTTGGCAATAGCAACGAAAATCTGCTCATTTAGTAAAAATCCTGAATAAAATACACTATTATTTTTCTAAAGCTTTTTTTTTTTTTTTTTTTTCCTTAATGCAGAGGGTTAGAGATGTAGCTCAGGGATAGAATGCTTCCATGGCCTACATAATAATCTGGGTTCAATCTTCAATACAAAAAAAAAAAAAAGGCACTAATATAGTCAATGTAAACTTGTGACTTCTTAATTATTTACTAAACTGCTTTTTTCAATATATATGATAGCTCATTTAAGAGAAACTACTGAGCACAACAGCATTAGCCCAAAGAGAGATTTTCTTATACATCCAGATTTGCAGAAAAACATGTCAAGAAATGCTTGGAGAGATACAAGAGCCAAAAAGAACTCTGATGCTTCTGATAATGCAGCTTCTGTAAAACAGCTGAATACTATGAAATATGTGCCTGGACTGCGCAATAAACCTGAGATAATGCAACAAGAACCTGTTTTTGGCTTACATCCTCTTTCAGAACAAATCAAGACGAGGGGTATGGAGTCAACAGTGGGATATCAGAAACACACATTGCGAAGCATTACGTCTCCTTTGATTGCTCACAGGTTAAAACCAATCAGACAGAAAACTAAAAAGGCTGTGGTAAGTACATTGTTTTCCTAAGTTACTCTTTGATACTATTTTAAAAATACAGTTTTTGAAAACATGTTTTAGTCCCCTATAATATCCTGGACTTTGGAATATGTACATGATAAACTTATATAAAAAGAAAAAGATTGAATATTCATGGAAAGATAGCTTTTGTATATGAATAATGAAGTGATACTGATAAGTTTTGAATTTTAAATTTCTGTTTTTAGAAAGTAGATTTGAATATAAAACATTTAAAAATAATATTAGCGCTATACTGTTCTAAATATTAGTTTATGCACAGTTCAAATAAGTGAATTAATATTAACCTTTGGTTTTAGTTTTTATTTCTACATTTAACTTAGGCTTAAATACCAAGAGAAACTAACAAGAAATTATACCTTGATGTTTTAACAACTAAAATTATTTAAAAGAAAAAGAGTATGTACATTTTATAGTTTAAAACTTGTGAAGTGGGAATAGTGATTTTTTTTTTTTTTTTTTATTCCATGTTCATCCTGTTTGTTGGTGTTTCCCKTTCCCCCCAGTCTTGCCTTTGTTTGGCTTGCTATTATCTTTTAAGTCCTTATTCTCCGCCCTGCCTTCTGCTTTCTTTCTATTCACTGTTTATCCCTTCCCACTTCATTGTACATTCTCATCTTTGCACCTTATGGCTCACAATTGTGTTCAAATATACTTCTGGTCTGGACTGTTGGAGTGAAGCAGCTATTTCATTTTGACTTTAATATTTGTTTCTGCTATGGTTAAGTAATTTTCTCAAGTATCATGTGTGTCAGATGTTTTAAATGAGAAAATTTTTATTGATTTTTTTTTTTTTTTAATTTTCTCTTTAGGTGAGCATACTTGATTCAGAGGAGGTGTGTGTGGAGCTTCTAAAGGAATATGCATCTCAAGAATATGTGAAAGAAGTACTTCAAATATCTAGTGATGGGAATATGGTAATGTACAGTTATTTTATTATCTCGAGACTTCACATCTTCCCCTAAGCTAAGTTTAGCATTGTGATTCATTTGGAGATCTCTAAAATTTTTTTTTTTATGCAGTCTTCTGATATGATAGTCCCTGTAATTCAAAAACTGAAATAGCATGCCAAACATGTTTAAATAAATTAGTTCCATTTTTAAAATAATTGCTGGGCTGGGGATGTGGCTCAAGCGGTAGCGCGCTCGCCTGGCATGTGTGCGGCCCGGGTTCGATCCTCAGCACCACATACAAACAAAGATGTTGTGCCCGCTGATAACTAAAAAATAAATATTAAAATATTCTCTCTCTCTCTCTCTCTCTCTCTCTCTCTCTCCCTCTCCCTCTCTCTTTAAAAAAAAAAATAATTGTAGGGCTGTGGATATAGTTCAGTACTCAGCTTGCCTATCGTGTTTTAGATTCTGGGTTTGATTCTCAGCGCTGCAATAAACAAATAAAATTTATAACTAGTATCAAAAATCTGTAGTTTGATTTAAGTTTAAAAAGAAAATTAGAATAAAATGCTAGAGAATACCATTTTCTATAAAATAATGTTTAATATTGTGCTTGAACTTTTTCATATTTTGTTAACAAAATATAGTGCTCTAAGTTATTGGTATATAATTAAAAGTCTTAAAAACTTTTTGGCAGATCACTATATATTATCCAAATGATGGAAGAGGCTTTCCTCTTGCTGATAAACCACCCTTACCTACTGATAAAATCAGTAGGTACAACTTTGACAATTTACCAGGTATGTAAGCTTAACWGGAAATAAATTTTGAGAGTATATATACTTAAACTCTGTATATTGGTATGATAGGTTATGAGTATTTTGGTTTTAGTCATGTTGGAGGTTATGTTCTTGTACTTGGTATTTGGTCCAGTTTGATATACCTTATTAATTCGTTGTTTACTATTCATATTTTGTGTTATAATACTACTTTATTCTGTTTAAAAGTAAAAACTAACTCCAGAATATTACTCATATACCACCAAAATATAATTGGTGCACTTATTTAATTAGTAATGTGGCTATACTCACATTAAAAATTACAATATGAAGTGTCTAGTTTTTTGATCTTTGAAATCATGTGCTACATACATTTTCATTTATAATTGTAGTTAATCAAAGTTAACTCCTGATGCAGCTTCTGCATATTATGAACGGGGGAAAGCACCGAACAATAAGATTTAATTGAGATGCCTTTYAAAAACAAACAAGAACCTATTAAAAATCACAACAGGTAGATAAAACTATATCAAGTCAATATTTTCTTCCTTAATATTAACTAATTTTTCCCCTTAGAAAAATACTGGCGAAAATATCAATATGCTTCCAGATTTGTACAGCTTGTAAGATCTAAATCTCCCAAAATCACTTATTTTACAAGATACGCTAAATGTATTTTGATGGAGAATTCTCCTGATGCTGATTTTGAGGTTTGGTTTTATGATGGTAAGTACTATTTTTTAAAACAAGTTTTTTCCTGTAGTTTGTAATTTGGTAGTCATGTGCTTGTGTTTTTAATTCATGACAAGTCATTTTAACCAAAGTTTGTTTATATATACCTTCCTATAAATAATTTATATTATCATCTGTATATATATTAGTCCTCTTTCGCTACCTCACTTCATTTTAACTGTACCTACCTTGATTGATGATATAAAAATGTCATGAAACAATATCCTTTCTTTAATTAGAAACTCAAGTGGACATTTACCAAATTATAAGAATTATAAATGGGGCAGAAAGATTGGGTTTAATGAACATTCTGTCTTAAGTATTCTATAAAGATGATTTACTTTTTAAGTCATACATCTTTTACGGGATACACATGACACATAGCTGTCCATCAACTATGTTTGTAAGTGAATATAAATGATATCTTGATCTGAAAGCCATTAAATACTGGTATGATGAATAAATAAATCTAAATAAATTGAAAAAGAGTATTATGCTTATTTGCTAGGAGCAAAAATACACAAAACAGAAGATTTAATTCAAGTAATTGAAAAGACTGGGAAATCTTACACTTTAAAGGATGAAAATCAAATTCATAGCTTAAAAGAGGAAATAAAAATATACATGGACCATGCTAATGAGGTACATACCTAATAGATTTTAATACTAATTAATTATAATTAATTAATTACAAATTACTTAGGTCAAATATTGACAGAAAACACTCTTCTTTTGAAATAGGCTCATCGTATTTGTTTAGCACTGGAATCTGTAATTTCAGGAGAGGAAAAGAAGAGTGGGAATGCTCCCTTTTTCCCAATAATTATGGGAAGGTAAATTTTTAAAAATTTTTTAACATGGCTAAAGTTTATAAGATTTCTAAAAAAAAAGTTTGGTTTACTTCATAAACATTCTTTAGACATCTGTAAATTGCAAGTTTTAAAGGAATATATTTGAACATTTCTTTCTTCTTTAGAAAACCTGGTAATACTAGTTCACCTAAGGCCCTGTCACCACCTCCTTGTGTGGATCCAAACTGCGCAATAAGAGATGCACCATCTTTGGGTAGATTGATCATGAATAGTGCTACTACTCCAACCCAGGCACCCATACTTAGTCCTTCTGTAAGTAAATCTGTGTCACTTCTGTCCATACCCCTTCAGGGACCACCTTATGCCCTTCATAAAAAATTAAATACCTCATGAAGGACCCAGGTTCTATTCCCAGCACTACCCCACTCCCCTTAGCCCCCCAAGATAGAAGAGGCCTTAGTATACCTACCTTTTTTTTCCAGGCTACTCCTGAGGCACTGTATCACATACTCCTTGCTTAAACTTCAAAGGCCTTCTAAGTCTTTGAACCAACCAATGAGCCTTTCACATACTGTTAATTTGACCTTTTGAGATGTACATAGTTGTTTTATTTTTACTAGTAAAATATTAACTGCCTAAATATCTTATATTTACTCAATGAACTATCATGTCAATGAAGACTATATATATAGAAAAATGCAATGTTAAAAAAAATGGATATGTGTGTTTAGTCCTACCTACATATATACATATTGTGATATGAAGCTATGAAAAAAAATCTCTTGGGGAAAAAGATCAAAGCAAAAGAAAATAACAGTTGTATTATTTTCATTTCTGTATTTTTCTCATTTTAATAATGTGGTTGTATTTTTAATTTTTTTGTTTTTTTAAAAAAGCTAATGAAAATCCAGTAATTCTTATTTTTTGCTTAAGTTGGCTTATAAAAACAGTAAAAAATAATATCTTCCTGTTTTTACTCTTTGTAGATAGTTACAGCTGAAGGACTTGGCCATACCACTACAGCTTCAGGAACAAACRTCTCTTCTAATAATCTAAAAGATTGTCTTCCTACATCAGCACAACTTTTGAAGTCTGTTTTTGTGAAAAATGTTGGTTGGGCTACACAGGTGAGAAGTTTCTACCAAAATGACTTTTCTCAGTATGAATTTCTTTTGGTTTTCACACTGATTAGACAATCACCCCAAAATATAAATTTTTTTAATGGTTTAAGTAGAAGTTTTTATTTTTTTATATTGGTTAAATCATTTAAAAAATTTAATGTTTTATTTCCATACAGTGGAAAACTTTATTATTGTTAACAGATTGCCTACCAATGGTTTTTAAAGTACAGGTCATGATAATGGTTACTTATGATTAGTGCGGAACAATATCCAAAATATTGTGAGTTTTAGAAACCATTTGTAATCAATCTGACTAGAGTTAACTTTAATTTGGCAAAAGAAGGAAAAGTTAAAGTGTTTAAAGTTAATTCAAACTCACAGCATGAACCTGTGTGTATATTATGTGAAGGCTTCAAATGTGGAGATTTAAGCATGGCTTATGTCCCTTTACTTTCCACTTAAGAACAATGCACCCTTATTACTTTTGGAGGGTTGGTCATATCTGTTGAGTGCCTGCTTTTTGGTGTCATATTTTTAATATACATTATATAGTTTATCCAAAAAAAAACTAGTAAAGTTATCCCCTTTTAAAGATAATAAAATTACAGTTCATAATGTTACATTGATTTGGATGATCCTAAACTATACTACTTGTTGGTGGGCAGAATATGAATGTAAACCTAGGTCTCTCGGATTCCAGTGTCCGTGTTTGTTTCTCTATATCATGTGCCTCCCCATTTAACATGAATCACTAAAAGAAGTCTCAAAGGCTATGATGTAATATTTTCAGGCAAGGAAGAAACTCTAGGGGCACTAGGACAAAGAAAGGGTTAAAATACTCTGTGAGGGGAGGGGTAAACACGTACAGTGGAAATTGGTGAGAAATGGGATTCATTTAGAATAATTTTAATATTGTAGTACTTAATCTATTAAAGGATTAACCCAGAAAAGACATGAATATTCTCAACGCTAAAACTATTCCAGTCCTAAATCTACAGTTACTGGAGAGAGTTTCAAAACTATAGAAAACTTGTTGATATGTTCAACTTGAGTACCTTTTAGGAACCTCAGATCCTCTATTGCAGAGTCGATCAGTATGCTTATTATTTTTCTAGTTAACTAGTGGAGCTGTGTGGGTTCAGTTTAATGATGGGTCCCAGCTGGTTGTCCAGGCAGGAGTATCTTCTATCAGTTACACGTCACCAAATGGTCAAACAACTAGGTAAGTTTTTAAAAATACTAGTTCAGATAACACCATTTATACATTTCGCTTTCTTGCTATGCAAAAATAATAAAATTACCGTCTCATTTTTTGAGACAAAGTCTGGGTAACTTGTGGAGACTCGCCTTGAATTTTCTATCCTCCTGAGCTCCGGAGTCACTGGGATTATAGGCATGCACTACCACTCCCCTGGCTACCATTCTTCAAAGTGTTCATTATTCTTAGAAGATCGTATTATGTTTCTAATGCCTATTTTATAATTATCTACATYAATGCAGGGCAACTGGTATGAGTAATCTGTTCCTAATCCATTCAAGTCGTTAGATAACTTGTAACCCCCTTTTTTCAAGGCTATTGGGAATTTAACCTAGAGGCTTGCATATACTAGTCAAGTGCTCTACACCTGACCTACATCCCTAATACCTCTCTGCAGCTTTACTCCATAGTCTAACTAGGTTGGACCTTTGCAGAAAATTCTAATGAAGTTGTAGTAGTATACCTAAAAAAAGCATAGAAACATATCTGTCTTTTAAAGATAACTTGAGGGCTAGAGCTGTAAATGGCAGAGAATTTGCCTAGCATGTGTGAGGCTCCGAGTTCAATCCTCAACACCACATAAAAGTAAAATAGAGGCATACTGTCCATCTGCAACCACAAAAAAATAAACAAAAAAAACAGTTATGCATTGGAAAATAAAATTTTAAAAACTTGATTATTTTTCCCAAATGAAACGGTATATCCCCTGATCTAGTGATTAATGAATGTAAACAGTTGGCCTTCTATATACAGATTCTATATCCACAGTTCAACCAACAACAGGTCAAATATATTTGAAAAGATTGTACTGAATGTGTGCAGAATTTTTTTTTATTCCCTAAATAATACAGTATAACTATTTAGGTAAAATTTACATTGCATTTGATATTACAAGTAATCTTGAGAGGGCTTAATGTAAATGGGAGGATGTGTATAGGTGATATGTAAATATTGTTCCATGTTATGGAAGGGAATTGGGTATTCTCAGATTTTGGTATCTATGGGGGTCCTGGAAACTGTCCCCTAAACATGCCAAGTGACAACTTTTTATTCACTTTGCATGAATATGTGTGCTGGGCATCATGCCAGAAATAACAAAACTGTCAATAGCATGAAAAAGTTTCCATATTTAAAACATGACTTGTTGGGCTGGGATTGTGGCTCAGYGGTAGAGTGCTCATCTTGCACACTCAGGACCCTGGGTTGGATCCTTAGCACCACGTAAAAAGTTTAAAAATGAGTGAAATAAAGGTATAAATTTTTTTTAAATATAAATAAATAAAACATGACTTGTTAGAAAGACCTAAGACATGGCGGTGCTAACAGAAACATGCTGCTTCATGTGGTCTTTCTGTTGTAGTAGACGTGTGTGGGGCAACTGTAATTTGTGGCTCTCATGCTTTTTGTGAAATGCATGTGTATGTGCAGTAGCATCACTTCAGTAACTGCTCATAGGAATCGTTAAAAACACTTTAAATGCTCAAGGAAGTGGAAGGGTGCAGATGTAGAGTGGGTGGGATACATGTTCACAGATGAATGCTGCAATTTTACTGACAAGGGCAATTGCAAGTTCTTAACATCTAATAGAAATGTATTATCATGTTTAACTTAGTGTTTCCTTGAGAAAGCATTCAAGGAATGAAACCTTGTTTCAGAAAATATAGTTAGTTGAGTATTTTATTTTCTTGTTGTTATTTAAATGTTTATAAATTGTTCTCTTTTTTGGTACCAGGAATTGAACCTAGGAATGCTTAATCACTGAGCTACATCCTAGCCCTTTTTACGTTGTTTTTTTTTTGTTTTAACTTAGAGACAGGGTCTCACTGAGTTGCTTAGGCCCTTGCTAAGTTGCTGGCTTTGAACTCATGATCCTTCTCCCTTATCTTCTCCAGTCACTGGGATTACAGGCCTGTGCCACCATGCCTGGCTAATTATTCTTTTAAGAAAAAAAATGGGTATGCTTAACTAGATGGAGGTGACTAATAAATAATTGTGTATGACTGTTTTAATATCTTTGTTTATTTATTTTTATGTGGAGCTAAGGTTCAAACCCTATGCCTTACATGTGCGAGACAAGTGCTCTGCCACTGAGCCATAACCCCAACCCCACGTGGATGATTTTTCCTGAGATCTCTTGTCATTGAAGAATAAAAAATATAATATGGTTTTTGGTATTCCTTAAGAATGGAGAGATGATTATGGTTTTATCTTTTTTCTTTTACTTCACTTAGGTATGGAGACAATGAAAAATTACCGGAATACATCAAACAGAAATTACAGTGTCTTTCTTCCATCCTGTTGATGTTTTCTAATGCAACTCCTGGTTTTCATTGATTGAAAAGATACCTACATTTAATAAATAACTTTTTGGTTGGCTTTCAAGTAAAGTGACTTTTTATTTAATATAACTTCTTCAGAAAGCCTATTAAAGAGAATTTTAATCTGTACAGTAAAGGATGTATGCTGAGAGAAAACTGAATGAAATTTGAGTCAAGAAATAATTGGTCRCAGAGTACAATAGGATGCCTAACTTTGCTCTGAAAACATACCCTCAAGCTTACTGAGTGTATTTGTATTGAATGTTTTTTTAAAAGCAAAAATATAAATGGTGTGTGGTGTATTTATGCTTTTATTGTTTCTCTACTTCCCAGACATGTTGAGAATCATGGACAAAATATGCTGTAGTTTGGAATTTTTGAACATGTAAATAATATGTATTTATGTTATAAGTAACAAATGTAAACATGTATAGTTGTTTTATATTTATTTTTGTAGCACCAGTGTCTGCTTAAACATTTTGGCAAATGCATTTTATAAAAAAAAAAATAAATGTAACAAGAAGTAATTTTATCTTTTGACTTATTTAAATACTTTAAAATAAGTTACTACAAACTCATTTCTAAATTTTCTTGTTTAGGAAACAAATTTTATAACTTAATTTTCTAAGTTAAATATTAAACATTCTCTTAAATGAATGTATATTTTAATGTAAACATTTTAACACTGAAAGAACTTAATGTTGTAATTAATTGGCATGAAGAACTATTTGATAGTGGGATAGCCATTCCTAATGAAAAAACAAGAGTAGAGCTGGGCACAGTGACAGTGGATCCAGAGGCTAAGGCAGGAGGATCACAAGTTCCAGGCTAGCCTCAGCAACCCTGTCTCAAAAAAAATAACAAGGACTAGGGATGTAGCTCAGTGGTTGAGCCCCTGGGTTCATTCATCACCACCCCCCATAGGTGTATATGTGTGTGTGTGTGTGTGTGTGTGTATATATATATATATATATGTATATGTACAGACTCACATGTTTATAAATAGAATGAAACCACAAATTGATAGACTACTTAACCTCATGTTTCCTCCTAGGTCATTTTTTTGGGGTGTATATTTATCTTCTTTTTTTGGCACTGGGGATTGAACCCAGGGGCACTTAGCCACTGAGCCCCTGCCCCCACACACACCCTTTTTTTTTTTTTTTAAATTTTGGGACAGTATCCCACTAAGTTGCTGAGGCTGGCCTTGAACTTGGGATCCTCCTGCCTCAGCCTAGAGTCACTGGGATTCTGGTGCACCTGCACACAAGTTCAAGACATGAACCTGTTGGATCTTGGGAATTATTTTATCTTAAACTTCGGTAGATAATGCCAGTTTTTTTAATATTTCTGCAGTATATGAAAGTACAGATTGCTCTTCATCCTCACCAGAACCTGATGTTGTAGTCATTTTAAATTAGTTCCAATTTCACAAGCATAGAATAGTACAGAATAGTATTTAATAATAGAATTGTACAAATGTACTATTCTGTGCTTGTGAAATTGGCACTAATTTAAAATGACTACAACACCAGGTTCTGGTGAGGATGAGGAACAATCTGACTTTAATTTACATTTCCCCTATTAACTAAAAATTGTGCTTTTATTGAATGACAATCTACCTTTTCACATTGGGGTGTCTGCATTTTCTCAGTGGCATTTATAACTGTAGGTGCGCATCCTTTGTCAAGATACATGCCAAAATACCATCTTCCATCTGAGTTGGTCACTTCATTGTGGTTGAGATTTTAACTTGATAGGATTATTTAGAAATTGTTGACATTTACTAGAAATGTATTCATAATGTTTTGTTTGGTATTTTCTTTAGAATTAGGGTTTTCAAAATTCAATTTAACAAGGAATCCTGATTGGTTTGGTTCCCCTAGCCTCGACTAACAGAATTTTGCTCCTCATCGCTGTACTCCAGCTTCCTCAGGTCGGCTTTTGGTTCTGGGACCTCCAAGATGATCTCACCTCTCGGGTTCCTATAAGCCCTGCCTGTGCCACTCCTCACGAATCCCAATCATCCTCTTCCATCAGGTCTTAGGTAATCATTACTTCATTAGAGACATGCTCCCAACTTTCCTGGTCCTGGTTCCCTGTTACTCTCAGAGCTCCCTACACTCCTGTTTCCTCACACGGCACTTTCCTCAGTCATACTCGCCCATGTAACATGAAACTCAGGCCCGAGATTCCTGCCTCCTGTGAGGAGGGGCTCTGTATATTTTTCCTGTTCCATATTCAACAATTACTTAGTAATTGTCATATAGTGGGTGTCCTCTTAAATATGTACTGAAAGTATGGTTAAAATTTTAAGGCTAAGGTACATATATACAATAATTTGTTTATTAGAAAGTGAACATTCACAATACAACAGACAAAATTACACATGAATCTACAATAGTACACAGAATTTCTTCTCAAAATAAATTAATTCTTGAACAGATGCAAATAGTTTATCCTTGTCCAGATAAAAAAGTTATAAACTTTATTTCACCTTATGTAAGAAAATACAAGACAAGCTTAACAAAATAGAATATTTTATGAAGTTATAAATCCACTCAAAATATGCTTATTAGGTCTTCAAAAATATCTTTTTCTAAATATGTTCTTTTGTTTTTTCCTGCTACTGGGCATTGAACCCAGGGTGCTCTGCCACTGAGCCACAGTCTTACCACTTTTTGTTTTGAGACAGGATCTTGCCAAATTGCCCAGGTTGGCCTGAAACTTTCAATCCTCCTGCCTCGGCCTCCCAAGTTGCTGGGATTATAAAATGCATATGCCACCATGCCTGGCAATGTAAACCACTCCTAGTTTTTCATAATTTAAGGACTCTACATCATCTTTAATTTATACTCATTTTGTCCAATGGAAGAGTTAAACTAAGTTATTTAATTATTTCTCAAACTACCTCCCTGTTCTTTCCCCAAACCCGTTATTGCCCTATCTTTGGTGTTAGACCAAGAAAGCACTGTCAATAAAAAAGAAGGTGGCAGTCAGTTTTGCAAGGTTATAGTTTATCTGAATTGTAATCAAAGAATAACTTTAGAAGCTGGGAATTTTTCTTGTCATATTCTTGTTAAAAATATGCTATATGTTTTATGATAAAATTCTGGGGGAGAGGTGTTAATTGTTTGCCAAATATTTCTGCTAACAAAAGTCACTGGTACAGGTAACTTAATTTACCTCACAATTAGTAATCTATTAATAATCCAACTTCATGGTTATTTTCCCTTATGAAAAATATAGTGGTTAAGAACTAGACGAAAGACCTAGACAAGTAACTTCTCTATGCCTTCAATCTTCCATCTCTAAAATGGGAATAATAGTATCTTCACCCTATAGAATAGTTGTGATAAATTACATGTTACCAGGAATATGGAAAGAATTCCATAAATATTCATTATTATTTTCATCAATTATCATTACTGTTATTATCCATCATGCACACACTACCCAAACCAAGGGTGGAGTTTGCTCTTTATGATTAAAAGTGAGACAAAAACTGAGAAGCTTCAGAATGAAAGGTAAAGGTGATTCCAGGATTTCACCAAATTGCCAGAAGCTTGCTGATGACCTGTAAGCAGAGTCCTGCTAGGGAGGTGGAGAAAAGTGAAAAACCTCTAAAACATAACTGTACAGTGAGTTCAAGAACATTAAGCCTTCCATTAGAGCTGATGAAATTGGGTGGAGGAGTATTTCTTACTGTAAAGTGCAGATTATGTATTTATTCTTAAGATTTGGAAATGCTTATAACGTAAAATAGGAAACTTTTGGAAGGATATTTACCACTATTTTTTGCAGTTTTGTTATTACCACGTGCACAGTTCTGTACTAGTAACTTACCAGCATCCTATGTACCAATAAACTGTTCGATGAAAGCCATTCTGCTCAGATGCTTATTAACCTGAATTGACAGGGCTGTTAGTTCCCATCCAAATTTAAAATCCAACTAAAATTCTATAGCTCTTTAACAGCTCTGTAGACAAGGGACTGTTGTGTTCCCTCTTGTAATTTAGATGGGCAATATTTAATCACAGTGAATTTTTCTCTAAAGCTTAAAGGAGTTGGGATATAGCAATAATTTTAAGAAATCACGTACTATTGAATACATGGATACAAAGTGAATTATTAGCACTTCCAAGAATTAAATAGTGTAACTCCACTAAAGGCCAAGATATCCATTTTGACCTCTTCATTTTTCAAATATTAGCATTTTTCTTGCTCACATATCAATTTAGGGTTTAGTGAAATATTGAACTAAAATAAGACAGAGATGCAGTATTACAATAAAGATTTACACAAGACAGGAAGGATGGCAGGCATGCTAAATGGAGAATTTAAGGGTCATGATTTTTACTTCGCAAGGAAATGTATGAACAGAAAATGTGTTTTTATAAATAAAAAGTAGTTATCTTTGAATTAAAATACCTCTTTAGGCAAAAAAAATTCTATAATTTCATTCTATAATACAGCTAACTTGTCCTGGTTCCACTGCATATTCTCTCATTATTTTAATGAGACTTTTGTAGTCTGCACTAAGAGTGTAGTTTTCATACCTATAAGACCACTGCCACTCACTGTTTAGTTCATGAAATCCCAAAAGGGCATAATAAGAAAAACATAGGAAATTATGACCCAGAATGTTTTATGTGTCCTACTATTCACAATCACATGTAGTATCCCCTCTGTTATTTACATATGTTCTTGTTTTTCAAAATGTGCAATGTATCCACAGCCTGTATATGGTGACTGGATCGTAGCAATTGTGGGGCATAGCTTTCGACTAGGAAATGCCACACAAATCAAGTATGTTCCACCATAGTCTTAGCTACCTTACTCCTGAATCCTCCCACATCTTACAGAAAAGGCAATGAGTCTCTTGTAAACYGCTCCGAGGAGTGTGATGGTGAGCAGGACGATTACACACACAAGGCTGAACGCCCATCGTGGCCCCAAGTAAGTATACACGTGACTGATGAACACAGGCCCAAGAATCCGGGCTCCACTTCCAGAAGCTGTCAGCCAGCCCATATATACTCCCTGTGGAGAGTGAGCAGGGGACAAGCAGAAACATATTCAGGGTTAGTAATTTTAACAAAACAAATCTTGAATAATGAACTTTGTTCATATTATACTCAAGTTTAAAAAAACATTTTTTTTTTTGGATACTGGGGATTGAACCCAGGTCCTCACATATGATAGGCAAGCACTCTACCACTGACCTACATCCTCAGCCCTAAAGGAACAAACTTAATATCAGGTGAAGCCCCGGAAACAAGATAATGTATTCATATGCCATTTAAAAATAATATTTATTTTGTATTTGCTGCATGCCAGATGCTGAGTTAGGGGTGTGTGTGTGTGTGTGTGTGTGTGTATAGTTTCACATTTTTACAACGTTTGTCAGTAAGTGTTGTTCCTGCTTAACAGGCTAAAACTCAGAAACTCAGAGAACTTGTCCAAGAGATGTGAAGTTGTGTTTGGGCCACCCATCTGCACCACTTTATATCATAATACCACTCCTACAACTACTTATCCCAAACCCTAACCCACACAATCTTCCCAAGAATATTTAGTGCAGCATCACGCTTGATAACCCCAGACTGAAAACAACCTGAGTGTCTATAGTAAATCAACTAAATAAATTATGATACATTTAATAACTGGAATGTTGATCAGTTAAAGTATAAGGTCTTATACAGGGTAAAATCTTTCATAAGAAAGATTACTTTTCATAAGAAAGATTACTCTCCCCCC